ACTAAATTGAGCAACTCGTGATAAGAAATAAAGAGATCATATGTATAAGTACAATTAAAATCATACGGTAGTCAGGGTATGGGTAGGAATTACGAATTTGTTCACTGACGGATTGTCCACTGACGGATTGTCCGACCACTGACGGATTGTCCACTGACGGATATTCCACTGCCGGATTGTCCACTGACGGATTGTCCGGTCACGGGGAAAAATGAACAAAAAAATAATTCAAATAAAAAATTTCCTCTTTTTGAATATTAACGGCCAAAAACGGCCGCGCATTTTTATATAATATTTTTTCTTAATGTTTGCATGGATGAACATCTTTTAAAAAGGAAAAAAGCAAAGGAAAGGCGTTATGTGAACAGTGTCAAAAATAATAAAAAAAAATATTTTTAACTTTAAAGGAAAGACATTAAAAAATTCAAAAATAATTTTTTAAAAATATTTTGGACCATTAGAGTCTTGAAAATTAATTTTTTTTATTTTCAAGATAGGTCTGTTTTTAAAATTAAATTTTAATAAGACCAGGGAGCTAATTTTAATTAATTTACCAAAAGAACGAAGGAGTCGGGAGCAATACACCGTCCGACAAAAATGTCCCCCTAGAATCAGAGTTAACGACAATGGTCCAAAATATTTTTAAGAAAATTTTTTGAATTTTTTATACCATCCACGACCATGTAAAGGCTATTTTCAACAGACTAAGAATGCGTTGTTATTTTTTGGTCAGCCAAAAAAAATTTCTGAGTGTCTAATTTTTGACTCAAACTTCCTCAAATTTTTTGTCTGGAAGGTGTTTTGTCCCTCCACCGGAATATTTCCCTTTAATCAACACCCTTAAACACTCAGAAATTTTTTTTTCTTTTGTTCTCATGAAAATTCCCATAAATAATAATAATAAGAGCTATTTATAATGAAAAAAGATCTCCAGTATAGGCGGCATTTTTTTAATGAAAAAAAGAAAAATATTTTTTTAAAAGAAAAAAAGAGGTGTTGGGAAATTTTTAAAAGTCTCCAGAAATTTTTTTTCAAGTTAATATTTTTATAAAATTATTTTTTATTTAAGGGGACATCAAACAGAATCAACAACTTAAAAATTAAACTACACCCAAAAGATCACCACTGTAATTTAGTGCTTTCCGGAACTCTTCCGGAAAGCCCCCTTGACCTTTTTAGTGGTGATCTTTTGGGTTGACTATTTATTTTAAATTAATTGAAATATTTTAATTAAAATAATTAAAAAGAGAATTTTTTTAAAAATTAAAAAGGAAAGGAAAAATGTCAGTGTGCCTTATTTAAATTGGAAGAGTCTAAAAATTAATTTCATTTTTTTCTTTCAATTAAGGAAGAAAATTTTATTTTTTTTTAATTTTGTGTGGGAAAATAAAGAGAAAATTAAATTTAAATAGTTCTTTAAAAAATTTTTTTTTGGTCAATATTTAATTTTAAAAATGCATTGTTATTTTTTAAATAAGTCGAACCTCATTTATGTGACTCCCTTAAATGAGATTTAATCAGGTTGTCGACTACTAGGTACTGGGCAGGGTGTATGCCAACTTCGCCTTCGCTTTTAAAATCTGTTCCGGCACACCACAGGTATGAGGCTGTCCAAGCGATAGCCTCCTAATATTGTGTACCCGTTAGAGATCCAGATTTTTTGAAAAGCCTGGGTTTGTTTGTTACTGGGTTCTGGTTTGATTTATTGACCTGAGCAGGATCCTGGGCCTATAGTCCAAGAAAAACCCAGCCCCAGGAAAAACCTAGGAAGGTTAAAAAATGCCTGGGCCTGGGGAAAACCCCATGCCTTACCCAGCTAGATCTCTAATACCCCTCAGTATAGTGTACACATTCTTCAGATAAGTGAGATCCATCCGAATGATTCTCTATTTATTTTACGTCCACATAATCGTATTTAAATAGAATGTGTTTTGGAATTTCTAGAAAATTGTCTGATAACTAAACTACTATACAATTCCCCTTCCCTTTTCCTCAATAAATTATTCAAAAATTGTTTTTTAAACATAAAAAACTGAAAGGCGCTTTAACACTAAAAATAAGCGTGCAATTCTCCCCTTCCTTTTTTTCAGTTTCTTCAGGATTTTTACATTTTAGCGTGCAAACTAAATGAAAAATAAAAGAGAAACAACAGGAAATAGGCTAAAAAGAAGAAAGGTTTTAAGAAAAAAAATAAAAATGGATCAAGAGCGGAAGAATGATTTTAAAAAGGAAGGGGGGGGGAAGTAATTGGCTGGCACTAAATTTAGGGAAAAGAGGGAAGAAGATTATATTTTTACGAAAATCATGCAAAAGAAAATTTACAAGAAAATTAAAAATAAAAATAATTTGGGGCAATCCTAGATTTACATTTTTATGTTTTTAATTTTTGGGAGAAGAGAAAATATTTTAAAAATTGCAAAAGGAAGGAATTAATGAAAGGATTAAAAATAAAATTTGTACTAATTAAAAGGATTTGTAGACAAAAATTTGTGAATAAATGAGCTTCCCAGTAGGGTAGTCGGTTACGAAAAATCAGAAAAATCCTCGGATATTCGGTCCGGTTTCGGATATCCGAAGAGTTTCTAGGAACCGACAACTCTACTTCCTATTCTAGGATTTTTGGAACCTCATATTGGGTCTCGGATAATTTTTTTAAGTTTACAGACCAAAAGAAAAAATTTAAAAAAATTCTTAACATAAATTCCACAACTGCCCTTCCCCTGATAACAATGACTGCAGACTTGTTATCTTACAATTTTTGGAACCTCATTTTGGGTCTTGGATAATAAATATGCTTTTTCCCAATTTATAGACCAACACAGAAAAATAAAAAAAAATAATTTACGTTTACCAGGAATTCCACAAAAATATCCTCCCTTAGATACCCTCCCTTCCTATTCTCGATTAGTCTCTGATTTTTAGGTCCTACAACCTTTTCCCCCTCCTCTCCCATTTATTTTTTAAAACACCCAGTCATAAATATTTATTATTAAGAATTATTTTAGTTTTTACAAAATTTACCTCACCTAGTTATTCATAATTTTCAAGCAAACAAGAAAGAAAAAAGAAAAATATTTATACACACAAACATTTATTTTTAGGCTCCTTTCATAACAAGCGCATTTATTATACACAGGTTTTTGCTTAATTGGCCACAATATTCAAAATACCTTCTTTTTTCCTTCTTTTTAACACTCTTTTTTACTTAAACACAAATTTTTGGATGAATAAGCTTTTGAATATTTTATAAAAAAAAAGGTTATATCCTCTTCAAGGGTATAGTTCGGCGCGAGGCCATAACGGCGCAAAGCCATAACTTGCTGGAAAATTTCTGACCCTTGTCAATTTTGGTATCAATCTCTTTAGCTCGATGAGAGGAGTCGTTTAATACTAAATTTGGTAAAATTCAAAAATCCTGAAGCAATTTATGCTTTGCGCCGTTATGGCCGCGCGCCCTTTTGGTGTCTCCTTCCTCCCCTTTTTCGGCCCTTTTAAAGTAAAGTGTTAAGAATTGTACTTTAATTTCCTGTCATTTTTAAAAAGTCTTTTTTAAATAGATAAAAATAATATTTGCATTTTTGACACACTCTTAAATTCTCTTGGGAAACGTTCTTCTTACTCTTTCTATATTTACCACCCCCTTAGGCAGCGATTAGTATGGGTAATCGAGTAATGAGAAGAATAAAAGGAAAAAGTCTACTTTAAAGGGCAAAAAATTTTCTTTAATTAATTAAACGAACATCTACAACCTTTCCTAGAGCTGTTGAAACTACAACCATCCTTCCTAGAGCAACTAAAATCGTTCCCGGTAATAGCACAAACAGCTCACTCAGCATCACTCAAGAGACTTTTTGCTTAATATTGTTCAACTTATAATCTTAAACCACCTTCCCCTCACCTTCACCCCCCCCCCCTTCTCCCCCGTGCCACTTAAACGTTTTAAATTCCAACTGGATGTTTACTAAATTCGTATTTTAATACTAATCGGTCAACTGTAAACAATAGGAGCTTTATCAAACATTAATTCACTTGTTGTTAATCTCTCTTGTAAATCGTTTGATTAATAAGAAAAATTCTTCCCCTCTTTCCATACCCACAATTTAAAGGCATTAAAAAGAAAACGAGAGAGAGTCAAACATTATCTACTACTAAACATCTCTTTAACTCGTTATTGCACCAACAAGCTACATCGAAATTCCCCATGGATTATGTAGAGAATGGGAGGGCTTTTTTAAAGTTATAGATGAGTTGTTGTGGGTTGTTTTTGTTATAGAGTATTTTAATGTTTTTAGGCTCATCAATGCTTTTTTAAAAATGTTTAAAATTTATTTTTGAGTTTTTAAAAAAATTCCCAAGTGAAAAAGTAATTTTTTTACTTTTTAAAAATAGAGTTTTTACTTAAAATTATCGAAAAATAAAGGGAAAAATCGAAAAAAAAAGGAAAAAATTTTATAAATTTTTAAAATTAATTAAAAATACATAAAAGTGAAAAATATTTTTGGAAAAAAATTTAAAAAAAAAGGCAAACAGAAACGAGTATATTTTTTAAAAAAGGTCACAGCATGGCACAGCCAAGTTCTCGAAAAATTCGAAATATTTTTTAAACAACTCGATTCTCGATAACCGAGATGAACGGAAGGAAAATATAGACCCGGATCAATCTATACTGAATACTTCCCTGACATGCCAGACTCTTCGCCATGCAGTAAATATACCAGGCCCATAGCCAAAAAAATTTTCTGGAAAGAGGGGTCTTCCCTTTCTGTGTGGGGGGTTTTCCCTTTTCCCCTCTGGCTAAGGGCCTGGTATATACCAGAGGTGGATCGGAAATGACAAAGGTGCCGGAAACCGGAACTGTCGGAAATCGGGAATGGCTCAAAAGTCGGAAATCGGAATTCCGACCCACCTCTGATACATACTCACTTATATATTCAGATATACAAAAAACTAAAAAATATAAAAACTCTCACACTAACCAAAAAAAAAAATATTTACAAGATTTAAGGTCCCCCATTTTCCCCACCAATGTCACATTCTTCCGTTAAAATATTTAAAATTTCTGCAAACGTAGGTCTAGCTGTTGGAGACAAAAGCCAACAATCACGCATCAAATCCACAACAAATGCTGGGGTGCCTTCTGGAGGTTCAAGTTTGTAGCCCTTTTCTACTAGTCTTAATACGTCTTGAATTGGCTTTAAATAAAGAAAATTTAATAATTTGAAAAAGAAATTGATAGGGTAACACGTGCGGATCCTAAAAAATCTAGAAAATCCGACCCGAGTTCTTTCTCATAAGGGAACCTTTAAAACGGTGGGTCAAAGTTTTGTATTTTCTAGTACAACCAATCTCCTCAGCCCCCTGGCTAATTTTTCTCGACAAGAAATCCGATGCGAAACCAGATCCGAGTTTTTTTTTAAAAAATGCTCCCCCCCCCCTTCAGTAAACACCAACGTGTGGATAACAATGTGTGGACTTCTTTAACATTTGGTCAGCAATATCAGTCCCCGAAAATGTCGGAAGCCCGACGGGAAACCACAAAATAAAAAAAAAATTTTTTAATCAAAAAAACCTTACAATTCTGGGATAAGGAACACGGCCAAACGAATAAACTTCCCAAAGTAAAATACCAAAAGACCAAACATCACTTTTGTTTGTGAAAAGCTTAAAAACATTTTTAAAAAATTATTCAAAAAATTAAAAAAAAATACATTATGCCTCAAAGCTTCAGGAGCGCTCCATTTTATTGGAAATTTTCCTTTTGCCGAATCTTTTGCAGGTTCTTGTGCAGCCTGAGCAAGTCCAAAATCGCTTATTTTTGCAATTAGACGATCATCCAATAGAATATTACGTGCTGCCAAATCTCTGTGGACAAAACGTCTAGCCTCTATATATGCCATTCCTTCGGCTACGTCTCTAAAAAAAGAGAAAATTTTTTTTATTTTTTATCACTCCCGTCCCCAGAAATTCTATTTCCTTCTACCAAAAACCACGGAACAAAAACAAGGAACCTCGATAAATTTTTAAAAATCCTTTAAAGGGAATAGGTTTAGTTACCTAAGCCCGACTGCTTTTCAACCCGAAAATCTAAAAAAATTCAAAAACCCGGCCCGACCTTTTTTCTCAACTCCTCCCCCCAAGTCTTCACAAGGGACCATTAAAAAACAAAAATCTGGACCAACTCACGTCTCCCAAAAATTTTAATTTAACCGTTAAATTAAGCCTAGCCCCCACCCCAAGAAAAACTTAAAAAAAAATTTCAAACATTGCAAAATGTAAAAGTTGTTCCCTTTCCACTTGTTGCCTTCCTCTTGAACGAAGAAAATCAACCAAATTTCCATTTGCCATAAATTCGGTTAACATAAACACTTCTTTTGTATCTTCTACCATTACAACACCAATTAATGCAACCAATTTGTTGTGATCCAAACCTCTGTAAAAAATTTCAGAAAATTTAAAAAAATCAAGGAAAAAATTCTCTTACATCATAAACCGTGCTTCAATTAATAATTCATAACCCATTCCATCTTTTAATGTTTTTACGGCAATTTTACGGCCTCTGTATGTTCCGGAAAGGACATCTTAAAAGATAAATATTTAACCTAAAAAATATTCGACACAACTTCTAAAACTTAAAAAATGTCAAAAACGTATACTTTATGGTTATCCGAGACAGAACCAAAAAACTAAAAAGCGGTCTGGATCTGGATCCATACCTTGATTTTTCCTGGATCGAGAGTCCAGATCAAGGCATTTCTCAGCGGTCCTTGATTTTTTCCTGACTCAAGGTCAAGAACCTGGTCAAGGTCCTTGCTTAAAATCAAGGTCAATCTTTACAAAAAACTCATGGTTTGGTTTCGGAAAATCCGAAAATTTGAAATTTTGAAATTTGAAAATTTGAAAATTTCTCACTCCTTTCTGATATATGGCCCGCTGCCGGTGAAATCTGTCGACCTGACACATTGTGGGAGGGATCCCTTAGTGTTTTGCGGACATCCACCTAATTCCTAAATTCCCTTTAAACCCTTTAGAAAAAAAAACCTCCAAATTCTCCATGCCCAATAACCGATCCAAGACGTAATTCATTTATAGAAAGTAAAACTCCAGCTCTAGCAAATTCTGCCCGGCGTTCTTCAAAAAATCTGGGTTCATAAACATGTTTTGAAGATTCACAAAGTAAGGGAGAAATAAGTCTGTGACAAAGGCCATCGGCATCTCTTTTATAATGCTAAAAAAGGGTACAGCAAAAGTTGGCGTGGCCGAGTAGGCGCAGACAAAGTGGGCGCAAATCAAGTTTCTCGAATCGCTCTCCTCAACGGTTGGACCAACAAATTTTGCTGGGACAATAGGTTGCAATAGAATATAATTTACATTAAAAGGTTGTGCCTACTTTGTCCTGCGCTTTACTCGGGCATAACCAAAAAAAATTTTTTTAATTACATAAAAAATTAAAAACTCACAGCAACAAGTTGTGTTAAGGATTCGAATAATCTTAAAATAAATTAAAACGGTTACTCAGAAAACTGGCAAAAGCTTACTCTTCTTTATCGCAAGTGAAAAGGCCATTAACAATGTAGATTCTAAAAAAATTTTTTAAAAATTAAAAGGAAAAAAAACCTGTAGTGTTCAACTTTGTAATTGTGAGCTACACAAAGGGTGAAATCGCCTAAAATTAAAAAATTGAGAAAGTCAAGTCAATTATATAGTCAATTTGGCAAGGCTCGACAAACCGTAAATGCCCTAATAGAAGCCCCGGGCCTTTATTTTTCAATTCTAGTTCGAAACACGAAATTGACTTTGGCACACAGCGATTTCCTTACTTTTCAGTTGCCACCAGAAAAACCCTATAAAAACACCAAACCTGGATAATTTTCAGATCGCCTGATCAAAAAAGTGCCGTTTGAACATGGACGCAAACGCCTTTAAAAATTAAAAACAAAAAAAAATTAAAATTAATTTTCTTACTTTTCAGTTTCTTCACGAGACAAGGACTTGTGGAACCATTGAGCTAAAAAAATAAATTTCAAAACGAATTTGAAAAACAAAAAAACCTTGCGAATCCACCGGATCCAAATTTATTAGATTGGAATGATTCATTTCATAAGTGATTCATCTCTTCAAAAAAGGCTAAAAAAAGAAACTAAAGTTTTAAAAATCCCCCCTTTTAAATTTAGCTTGGCAAAAAGTTTTAATAAATATAAGACAGATAGTCCGCGGAAGAAATGGCAAGTAACGCAAAACGTCACAAAATGAAGGAAATTAAAAACATGAAGAGAAAACAAAAGTTGAAGAGAGTGGGACAAAATGTCACCCCGAAACGTAAACCTTGTAATTAATAATGGCGCTCGAGATTCTCGATCCTGGGTCTTATCCGAGATTTTTCTTGGCTCTTTAGGTCTCGTCTCGGTTCTTGGACCTAATTCTCGATCCCGGTTCTTGAGTCTCGGCAAATTTTCATTCTCGAGCATCACTGGTGATTAAATGACCATAATGGTCAACAAACAAAAATTCTTTGGAATTAATCCCAAAAAAGTGTCCAATGAGAAAATAAAGAAAATAATGAAGGGTATAAACCCATATTAGCAATTAAAACACACAGAATTTTCTTCAAAAATTTAATTAAAAAACAAGGGAAAAAGAAAATGAGATCAAGACAAAAATTAAAAAAAAAATTTTGGCAAACTTTTTTAATTCTTTTCCTTCTTTTCCAACACTTTTTCTGTTTTTTCCGTTTCTTCATCCTCATCCCCTTCAAAATATACATCATATAATGCGTACACAATCAAAATTAACAGTGATGTGAGGGAGACGATTAAAAAGTAGCCATATCCGTTGTATATGTTCTCCTGAAAGTCGAGGTGATTAAATGATAAGGAAACGATGATAAGAAGAAATCACCTTTGAAATGATCAGCTTTTCAAGTTTTGCCATTACTAAAACCAAAAAAAAATTTGTTTAGTCGAAAAAGCAGAGAAAATCCCTTAAAATCGAAAAAATCATTTTTCTCTAAAAACTCTCTCATTTTTCTACACTATTTCTCTGCTTCTGTATTTTCTAGACTGCAATGTTACGTGTTAGACAGAGAAAAAGAAAAGTCAAAATAGTGTTAGAAAACATTAAAAATGGTTAGACAATTTTATAATTAATTCGATAAAAGAGAGAAGCGAGAAAAGCGCCGCTCGCACTTTCTAAAAATAAACGTACATTCGCCGTCGTTTTTAGTGGCGACCTACGCTCATTTTAAAATAGATTGGTCTATGATGTCTGCTCGCTGCGAGCTATTTCTCGTTTTCCCTCTGTTCGGCGCGTAGCGGCGAGCAAATTTTAGGAGTTAGTCGCTAGCGAGTGGCGGCTTTCGCCTCCTCTTCTCTCTCATTCGTCCATCGTTAACGGCTGACGATTTTTTAGAGTCGTCTATCGCTGGCGTCTGTAAAACTTGTCTCTATTATTTTGTATAAGCAGACAAGGCTTTCTGGCCAATTTTTAGATTTTGCATGTTTTTTAACTGTCATTTTGGATTTTGACATTTTTATGACTGTCAGCTCCTTTTTGCAATCGCTCGTATTTTGGCATAGTAATGAATCCAAGTTCCTTATCAAGACAGTCAGTAGGACAACGATCGAGTTGATTTTTTTAGTGTGTTCTGGCTCCCCAATCAACTCCTCAAAAAATTCAAACAAAACTGCTTTTGCAAGTTTAGCGGAAGCACAATTTTCGTCCAACCAAGCGACTATTGATTGATTTAACTGCAAAGCGAAAAGAACATTACCTTGTGAAAGTCCCTTTTTATTTTTTTACAAAATCCTCACAGAATTTCTATTTTTTTTATTTTTCTTTTCTCAGACTTAATTCTGTATGTCTAATTGGAATGACCTCTCAAGGGAGAGGCTTATTCAGGAATACAAGAAATATCCATGTTTATGGTGAGAGTTTTGTTTTTTTAATCCAGCAAACCCCCCTTTTAAACTTACAACCATTTTAAACCTTCCACCCAAAAGATCAAAACCATTAAAGGTCATTTCCGTCGGAAGTCGACAAAATAAAAGAGAACCCTAAAGATCAACGTTAAAAGACAGTGGTGATCTATTGGGTGTTTTACAAAATAAAAGAGAACCCTAAAGATCAACACTAAATGGTGGTGGTGATCTATTGGGTGTTGCCTTATAATTAAATAATTTAAAGGTCCAGCAGAGATGAGGACATCAAAAATGTCGAGAAAAGAAGAGAATGTTTAAATTTAATAACAACAGAATTAAATAAATACGAAGAAAGGCCGTTCTCGCAAGATGAAATCCGTACCCAATTCAAAAACCTTCGCGACATGTATCGACGGAAAAGGAAAAGGCTCCAGTCTCAGCAAGAAATTAATCCTGGAGTTGTTTTGGACGAACCCGGATGGATTTACTTTAATAGGCTAAAGTTTCTGGATGATGCGACAACGACGAGTAATGCTGATTTTGGACTGTACGTTCCTTTTTTTAACAAGGGGACAAGGTCTTGTGTATACTAAAATTTGGGATTGTTCTGGGTACCTTCCGTTAGAGGACCCTCGACTTTCTATTAGGAAGTGACTCGTTTTCTTGCAAAATGACTTTAGGCCGGGTTATGGCCGGTCAAAGATACCCTGTCTTTGGAAGGGAATCAACCCAGAAGATCAACACCCTCACAAACTTTCCTGTTTTGGGATTTGACCTTTAGGGTCGTCTCACTAGCAGTCGACCTTCTAGTTGGTCTCTTCTAGACCATGTTTCCTTGTAAAATAAATTTTTTAAGAATTTTTACAAAAAATCATTTTATTTTCAAGCCCAAACGAATCTCCTTCCCCCGCTCCATCTTTACCTCCTCCCAAAAAGAAAGGAAAAATTGTTGACGACTCGTCTTTACCTACACCTTTAGAAACTGATCCACAACCACCAGAAAATAGTAAATCTATTCTTGTTCCCGTAAAAATTGAAAGAGCAACCACAACAGATAAAGAACAATTAATTCTTTCTTATTCAAAAGACGAGCAACAAATTAAATTAAATTCTCAACATAATGTTGAGGAATGCAATAACTCCAAGACTTCATCATCTTCTTTACTAGAATCCTTACAAAAACACCAACAACAACAACAACAACCAGAGAACACTAATAATAGTGATGCGCTGAATAAAGGTAAAGTTTCTCAATTTTCTGCTCGACATTTTGTCATATTTTCCCTTATGGGCGTTTTGTCCTTCCCTCAATTTTGACGTTTTGTCAAAATTTTCCCTTATGGGCGTTTTGTCTTTTAGACGTTTCGTTCAATTTTACCCTATTTTTTTCTTTTAGTCTACTCGACAGTTCAACAAACTCCTCTGGATAATCTCGCAGACGCCGCCATAGCTTCCTTCAATCACACTTCAACTTCAAAAAACAACAATGAATTACTAATTGAACAACAACCAAGGCATATTTCTTATATTCCTTGTGAAGACAGCAACACCAACAACGACGAATTTACTTGCTTTGGCCGATTCATCGCCGTTACTTTAAGAAAGATAGCTGCACATTCAGCTTTGGATGCTTTAGAAGCTCGAAAAGCGATTGGGGATGTTCTCTATGGAGCAGAATTGCGTTCTTTACAAAAACAATGAAGAAAATAGAGGGGGGAAGGGTTTTAAATTGTTGATGTTTTTTATTAGGATGAGATGGAAGAAGAAATACTCAAAAGAGTTCCAAGGCCGTGTCCAGTAGCTCGGAAGGATATTTTGAGAAAATCCGGTTTTTCGGAGGTTTATCCCAGAAATACCGGCCCGAGTCGGCTTGGAAGAAAAACCCTCGGATTCCGGGCCTGAGAATGTGAAAAGTTCGAACTCTAATAGTAAGGATTAGCTCGAGGGGCTTACACTATCTCATCCAAAAATTGTTTTTTTCTTATTCTAATCAAATATTCCCAATATTCCTGATTAATTTTTATCTATTATATTACTCCTTTTTTCCAATCAAAAAAGAAAGCCTTTCATTAAAAGAATACCCAAAGAGAATAAAATTATTAAAATTTTATTTAAATTTCATTTAAATATGTTTGGATTTAACATTGTACCTAAAACACAGCAACATAAAACAGGCAGAGGGTGCAACCAGCCTTTCAGTGCGGGAGTATGGTTTAGTTGGTTAGTGACAGCGAAAAATGCACAAGGTTCGAATCCTTTCAGTGAAAATGAATTATATAATAAGGAAATCCTAATAATATCTTTTCTAATTAACATTTAATGTCATTTTAAATTAAAATAAATTTTTTCAAATCAATCTTTCCTTTATTTTTCATTTTCTAAATTTACTTATAAAACCATATGTAACTTTTTTTAAACATATTAAAAATCAATAAATTTGGTTTTAAAACAAAGATAAGACTTTGTTTAACGATTTGGCTAAGTTGAAATTTTTTTCTCAAAGTTTTTTTTCGAGATAAAGCTTCTCGAAATTATACATCAAATCTTTAGAGAAATAGCATGCGAAAAAAATAGAGCGATATAGAAAAAGAGAAAATTTTTCATTTATTTCAGTGCCACTGAAACGGCTCTAAGTTGCAGGTTATGTTGCTGTGTAAAAATATAATAAATCTCTACTCTGCCGTTGAAAATTTTATTATTTTTCTCTAACCAGTTCATGGTTCTGCGGCTCCCATACAAAATCTCTATTCCTTAAAATCGCTATTCCTTAAAATCTCTACTAATCTAAAAATGCTTAAATCTCTATTCCTTAAAATAACTATTCCTTAAAATCTCTACTGGGGTAAAAATAATTAAAATCTCTACACCGTGCAAATGGATGGTAGAGTCTCAACAAAAGTGTAAAATTTGAACTTTTCATTGGAAAACCCAGACTTGGTAATGGATACGGATATGGATACAATTGATTTAAAAATGGCTGCGGATATCTGCTTGTATCCGCCGTAAATATCGAAGATATAATACACGACTGCTTCGCTGCGGTCGTGTTCATTTTGCTTGCGGTGATTGTATGCTGTCGTTCCGCTGGACATGCCTGGGTTCATCCGCAGCGGCAAAAACAATACAAGCAAAATAATATCAAAAGATAAGCCAGAAATCAGAACAACGTTTCCGCACTGAACGTTGGCACTCAAAAGTCTTCCGAATGAAAAAATAGACATTTTATCCTATTTTTGGCCTGTAGAGATTTTAAGGCGTTTTACCCGTGTAGAGATTATGAGGAATAGAGATTTTAAGGAATAGTTATTTTAATAATTTTTAGCCGAGTAGAGATTTTAATGCATTTTAGCTGTGTAGAGATTATAAGGCATTTTAGCCCAGTAGAGATTTTAAGGAATAGAGATTTTGAGGGGATACGGGTTCTGCATGTCTGCTAAATAATCAATAAATGCAGAAAGAGTGTGGGAAGGAGAGAGACATTAAACAGTTAAAGGGTTGAGGTCAGTTCAGTGCGAAATAATCAGTTCAGTGTGTCGACTGAATGTCTTTAGAATTCTTGAAGTTTCCTTCTTCAAGTGTCAAATTCGAAGTACTACAAAATCTGATTAACCAATCTTGTCGGATGTTCACGCATTCTTGCTTCCTTCTTATTTTCTCCTTTTTTTTATTGATTTAATTTCAAGTTCTCCCCTTCCTTGTCTTGCTAATCCATTTATGATAGACCCCATTTTTTCCTCCCCAACCACAGAATAGTCAGACTTCATTCTTTCGTCCATTCCAATTGCCTTTCTAATTTTGTCTACAAGCAACCAAAAAAATTAATTTTTATTCCCCCTATCCCACTACACTAAAGTGGAAACCTCTTCTCATATTCTATCGGATCGATAAAAGTGGGGAGGGGACCAATCTAACTGAATTTAATCAATTTTAGATTTCTGAATTAAATACAAAATAAATTCTTTTGTCTTCAACAACAATGCCTCCAATTTGTACCAATATTTTTCGTCCAATGCTGCGTCCTCTTTGCCGTTATGCGCACTTGAATGGAACTCCGGGAATTTACAATACTGTTCCGAATTGGAAGCCTGGACCGGGTTGGCGCCCACAGAGTCCACAAGGACCTTATCTTGATGGCTGGGCTATGGGGGTAATTTTTTGAATATTTTCTTAATTCTTTTCATTTTTTTTAATTTTTAGTATTGGCATTATACTCGACCACACAATCTTCCATTACTTTTTGCTAAAGCGGCAGTCTACCTTGCTTCTGCATTTTGGCTTCCATTTTTGTATTCTTTTAAAAATAAATTTTCTTTAAACTTTTTTAATTTTATAGCGTTGTGGAATATCAATTGAAGAAGTCAAAGGCAGGAAGTTGAGAGCCTGAACGTACTCTTTTAGACGCTTGATAAGAAGAAAGTTTGGAAAATTGTCTAGGAAAATATTAAAGGTTTAATTTGTTTATGAGATTGTTTTTTGGGTGATTCTGATTAGAAAGTGTTTTTAATGTCGGGATAAAAATAACTGTGTAGGCTATGGTTTAGTTAAGAGAAATTGGGTTCTCGATTCTTGCGAGTCTGTACCAGGGTGTCATGGTTCGAGAAAGGGTCGGCTTTTCATAATTTTCTTCGTATCTGTCGAAAAAACCCCCAGGTTTCGGATCGGGTAGTTAGGGGGAAGAAGAAGTAGGGTTTCGGAAGAACGGGTGTCAGGTAACGCGTGACATCCCTGGTGTGACATCCCGCAAAATTTATTCTATTTTGAGAGGCTGCAAATATGCAAGACTTGAATGATTTGTTTCGATATAAAAAAAGATTTTCCGTTGAAGGGATTCGAACCTTGCTCATTCTCCACCAATAGAGTAAGAAATATCCCACTAGACCATAGTGGTAACTTCTTAGTGTGGGTGAATAATCGACGGAGACATAAATAAAATTATTTTCCACTAAACGGGTTCGAACCCTCTTCATTTTTCATCATTAAAGTAAGCACTATCCCACTACACCAAAGTGGAAACTTCCTTCAATTGTCGTGTATTCTGTTGGATCGATAAATGTGGGGCTGGGAAATCACTACAAAATATTTTCTAGAAGTCTTACTAAATATATTTTTTTTCTAGTCTTTCCCAAGTCTTCAATCCAAAATATGGCTATATCAGTTTGGAAATGGATCCTTTGGTTGAAAAGGTTTTTAATTAAATTTCTTATCATTCAAAAAATCTATTTTTTATAGAAAGAACAAGCTGTTGTTACACTTGGCCCACAAGTTTGCGAAGGTTTATCTTTAGTTTATCTTTCTATTTTATCAATCAACTTTTAGGTGAGAATGTCTTCTGTGTTTCGCACATCTTCGCTTCTTTCAACGACACTTGTGCATGTCGCTGGTCTTTCTGGACGCGAAACTATTGTGAAAAATACTGGTGGAATGCATGTAAAAGCTGACAAGGATGAGGCGAGTTTATACACAGCGATGCTTGCTGCTCAGGACGTTACTGAACGTTGCAAACAGGTTTTTATTGGTTCTGAGATAAACCTCATTTTAATCATTCAGGTTGGGATTACTGCTCTTCATGTTAAACTTTGCGCAATGGGTCCGGGCTCTGGAGCTCAGGTTTATTAAATAAAATTATTTATAAAATTAACTTCTCATTTCTCTTAGGCGGCGCTTTGTGCTCTTCCTCGTTCTGAAGTGAAGATTGGACGTATTGAGGATGTTACACCAATACCAACGGATACTACACGTCGTAAGGGAGGTCGTCGTGGACGTCGTTTATAAGAAGCAGGTTTGTAATTTATATTTTAATGTTAGATATGAAACCATTTGTGGGTTTCGTTGGTTAAGCGGCCCTTCTTCCATCTGATGATGTTCGATTTCTCCGGTTGTTTTTCCTCTCCTCTTCCATCTAATCCCATCTTTTGTATCATTCGTTATTGTCAATGATTATTGTCAATTTGTATCATCGTCAATAATGGGGACTAACATTAAATTGAGTGAAAGTAGGATATTGTTATGAAACATTCGGTTAATGTTTAGGTTCTTGATTCCTTCTTACTATCCAAGTTTGATTAAGGGAGTTATAGCAATAAGTGTATATAAGTTGCTTGTCTATAGGTTACTGCTTTATAACACTATGTTTATGAATGGTGTTCCTGTGGGGTAGTGTTATAGTTTCCAGGTCTGGCGTTTATGATTCTATCCCGATTAGTTCCTCATAGGTCAAGCAAACTTATTTATTTCATAATTTCTTTAACTATCAACATTTTTTAAAGAATTCAATTGATGAACAATTGTTGGAAGCAGCACAATCTTTTGCTTGTGAATATAATGATTTACCTCAATGAATTGCTGAATGAAAATTTTTGTTGAAGATCTTTGTTTTGTATATTTTTATCAATTTTACGTAAATTTTTTAAAGAAGATTAATTCTAAAATATTTTTTTATTTGGATTTCCAAATTTCTCTGCTTATTTTTTTTAATTTTGAGATTTTATTAGATTTTAGCTTTAATTCTATAATTAAAAATGTCCAAACAACAACAAAAATATCTTCCAGCTTTAAAAGAAATTAATAATTTCAAAAGAAAATTGAAAGAAGAAAAAGAACAAGAAATTAATTCAATCCAGAGATCTCACGAAAATGTTTTGAAGAAATACAAAAATGATTTATTTAGCTGCCGTAAGCAATTGAAAGAGTGAGTAAATTTTATTAAATAGATTAATAACAAAACCGAAAATTTTGAGATTTGCTAAAAATTTTTTGAGCCTTTTTATGAAACCTTTAAAGCCTTGAATTTTCGAAATAACTGTTTAAAAAATTTTTCCAAAATGAAACCAGTATTTAACTAAAATTCAAAGCATAAAACGGGGTTTTTAAATCTAGATTTCCGAAAATCACATGTACCTTCTAATAATCGATTGCTAACGAACAGTTTTAAATATTTTCTTTTAGGACACAAGATAAACTGGCTGATGCTTTCTGGGGTGACAACGAGGTTAATTTAGTTTTAAATTGTTTTTGATGAGAAATATTTTTTAGAATATTATGGAAATTAATAAGAATGGGAGCGATAAAGCTTGTTGTTCTAATGTTGGGTCTAAAGTGGATGCTCCTACTCAGGTTGTTTATCTATCAAAAAGATTTTGAAGTCCCGTGGTCCTTATGACATTCATTAATTGAGTGAACTAGAAATATCCTCTGGTTTTCCTATTTTAGCTTTTTTAAATTTATCTCAAAAAGTATGGGTTAATTTGGGTTTAACTGGGGCGTTTAAATAAATATTTTTGATAGGCCATTTTTTGCTCGATTTTTCCATTCCGATTTTTTTTGATTTGCCCACGAATAAATTATCTGTCCTGATTCTATTTTAATTTCTTAAATTTCCATTCATTCATTTTTTTATTTTCAGACTGATTGTGAAAAGAAAAAGAAACGTTCTAGAGGCAAGGTAGTGAATTTATTTATAGTAAACGAACTTATGGTTTGGGTGTCACCACGGACCGATTCAACTCAGTTCGATGAGCTCTATCGATTTAGTTATTGACTCACCTTTTTATACATTTAAGAAAAAAATTGACAGCTGAATTGATTGATGGGTGAGAAGTAAAAGAGGAAAATAATTCTGAAGGAAAAGGATAAAAGGGTTTTCTAAAAAATCATACCTAAACCATAAGTTCCGGGAAATGTTTAAAGATTCCAAGTAAATAAATTAATTTAATAAATTTCTAGCACCTTGGCAGAAGAGAACGAAATTCCAATAAATTTATGAATGGTAAGAAGGATGGACAAGGAAAAAAGTGATTTTTTTTAATTTTTGAGGGAGAATTTGAATTTTTGAGAGAATAAACCCAACAAGACTGTAACGGGCTGAGAAAAAAAAGTCGGGGCTCTTTGAAAATTTCAAAGGAAAAGTTCGAGTTTCGGACAAATTTTTTCGGAAGCGAGGGGGAATAATGTTTGGTTCTGAAGACGCTAAAAAATTTTTATTTCTGCGGCGCTGGCGAAAATTTTGAGAATTTTTTGAAGGCCTTAGGCCGGCGCTGGCTACACTTTACTTTTTTTTGCGGCGCTGGCGAAAATTTTGAGAATTTTTTGAAGGCCTTAGGCCGGCGCTGGCTACACTTTACTTTTTTTTTGCGGCGCTGGCGAAAATTTTGAGAATTTTTTGAAGGCCTTAGGCCGGCGCTGGCTACACTTTACTTTTTTTTGCGGCGCTGGCGAAAATTTTGAGAATTTTTTGAAGGCCTTAGGCCGGCGCTGGCTACACTTTACTTTTTTTTGCGGCGCTGGCGAAAATTTTGAGAATTTTTTGAAGGCCTTAGGCCGGCGCTGGCTACACTTTACTTTTTTTTGCGGCGCTGGCGAAAATTTTGAGAATTTTTTGAAGGCCTTAGGCCGGCGCTGGCTACACTTTACTTTTTTTGCGGCGCTGGCCAAAATTTTGAGAATTTTTTGAAGTTTGAAACAAAAGTCGGGCGAGTTTTGGAAAACTTTCTTGGACGGGTATCGGGCCAAAAAAGTCCGGTATCGGGTACCCCGTGGTATCTTGTTGCCCACATTAGAATTAAAATTTTTTTGTTTATCCTCTCTCTTTTTCTTTATACACATAAATATTCGTCTCAAAAAAATTGATTTTATGCTCAAAATTTTATTGACTTTTTATTCCCATATATTTTTATGCCTCTGACTTTGATTTGGTTTTGTGCCCAAAATTTTATTAATTGACTTTTTATTCCCGTATATTTTTATGCCTCTGATTTCTCATTTGGTTTTATGCTCAAAATTTTATTAATTGACTTTTTATTCCCATATATTTTTATGCCTCTGACTTTGACTTGGTTTTGTGTCCAAAATTTTATTGACTTTTTATTCCCATATATTTTTATGCCTTTGACTCTGATTTTTTAAAAATATTTGTTTTTTTTTGTCAAATTTTAAATATTTATAATTTATTGAATTTTCTAAAATAAATTTTTTTAAATAAATCTGTTTATATATTTTTGTGTAGTATCCGTTTAATGACGGTGAATATCTTTATTCTTTATTTCAGCTTTGAACAGGTTGAATGCCGAACATGATTTGGATTTGGCTACAATGGAAGATTTGGAGAAAGCTTGGAGCTGATATGTTATTCCCGTTTATTGAAGGTTTTGTTTAAATTTTTTGGGGGAATTTTGAAATTTGTGGGCACTCTTGCTTCCTTCTTATTTTCTCTTTTTTATTGATTTAATTTCAAGTTCTCCCTTGTTTTGATAATCCATTTATGACAGACCCCATTTATTCTTTCGTCCATTCCAATTACCTTTCTAATTTAGTCTACAAGCAACCAAAAATAATTAATTTTTATTCCCCCTTGGATGGAATAAAGGAAGAAGTTTACCATTCTGCAACTATATAGGAAAACACTTGGGGAGGAAAAAATGGGGTCTGTCAGGTTCAATATTACCAAATTAAGCCCTGATTACGATTTGCTGCCATTATTTTTTATTCTTGATATTTTCATTCTTTAAATTCGTTTATTTTTCAGTTCTCATCATTCTGACTATAACAGAACACAGAAAGAAGAAAAAGAAGAATATAAATTTAATTTAAATCAAGCTTTCCAATTCAACATATAAACATGGTAAGCTTAGAGAGGTTTGATTTAACTAGTCTAATAGTTTTTATAGGCTGTTTTGACTTTACCTGTCCTATAGGGGCTTGATGGGACTAGAGCCATTTTAGGCTCCGGATCTTTGTTCATCAATATCGGGTCCCAGCTAAAACAAGGGAGCTTCAAATATTCGAAGTTTTGGGCTCCTAGTGAGCAAGTGCCTTACTAAACTTCTCTTCTTTTTTGTTGGTCTAACTTGGGTTGGGGATCCTGGGAATTCTTTTCGGACATCCTGACTTCTGTAACGTGGGGGCCCACCAAACCAAATTTTGTTTAATTTAGGGTATCCGGACTTTTTCCGTAGTCAAGTTCACAACTTTGTTCCTAGCCTTCTCACATTTTCCTAATTTTTCTACACCAAGCTGAAGTTAAATTTGTATTTTTAAGGCTTACGCATATAAAGATGATAAGAAGGCTGACGAACCTCAGTTGATATCCGCATTATTCTGACCTCACAGAACGTCAAGGCGTTGGAGAAAGGTTTTCTTTTTTTCTCAGAATTTTTAATTAAAGAATCTTTGAAGTTTGTGAAAAGCCGATCCACGGTGCTTGTGAAGAACATTTGGCTGTCAAGGGCCCTATTCGTATGCCGACTAAAGTGCTTTGCATTACTGCACCGTGACTCATCGTGTAACGGTGACTCATCGTGTAACGGTGATTCATCGTGTAACGGTGACTCATCGTGTAACGGTGATTCATCGTGTAACGGTGACTCATCGTGTAACGGTGATTCATCGTGTAACGGTGATTCATCGTGTAACGGTGACTCATCGTGTAACGGTGATTCATCGTGTAACGGTGACTCATCGTGTAACGGTGATTCATCGTGTAACGGTGACTCATCGTGTAACGGTGATTCATCGTGTAACGGTGATTCATCGTGTAACGGTGACTCATCGTGTAACGGTGATTCATCGTGTAACGGTGACTCATCGTGTAACGGTGATTCATCGTGTAACGGTGATTCATCGTGTAACGGTGACTCATCGTGTAACGGTGACTCATCGTGTAACGGTGACTCATCGTGTAACGGTGATTCATCGTGTAACGGTGATTCATCGTGTAACGGTGATTCATCGTGTAACGGTGACTCATCGTGTAACGGTGATTCATCGTGTAACGGTGACTCATCGTGTAACGGTGACTCATCGTGTAACGGTGATTCATCTTGTAACGGTGACTCATCGTGTAACGGTGACTCATCGTGTAACGGTGACTCATCGTGTAACGGTGATTCATCGTGTAACGGTGATTCATCGTGTAACGGTGATTCATCGTGTAACGGTGATTCATCGTGTAACGGTGACTCATCGTGTAACGGTGATTCATCGTGTAACGGTGATTCATCGTGTAACGGTGATTCATCGTGTAACGGTGACTCATCGTGTAACGGTGATTCATCGTGTAACGGTGACTCATCGTGTAACGGTGATTCATCGTGTAACGGTGACTCATCGTGTAACGGTGATTCATCGTGTAACGGTGACTCATCGTGTAACGGTGACTCATCGTGTAACGGTGATTCATCGTGTAACGGTGACTCATCGTGTAACGGTGATTCATCGTGTAACGGTGATTCATCGTGTAACGGTGATTCATCGTGTAACGGTGATTCATCGTGTAACGGTGACTCATCGTGTAACGGTGATTCATCGTGTAACGGTGACTCATCGTGTAACGGTGATTCATCGTGTAACGGTGATTCATCGTGTAACGGTGATTCATCGTGTAACGGTGATTCATCGTGTAACGGTGACTCATCGTGTAACGGTGATTCATCGTGTAACGGTGATTCATCGTGTAACGGTGACTCATCGTGTAACGGTGATTCATCGTGTAACGGTGACTCATCGTGTAACGGTGATTCATCGTGTAACGGTGACTCATCGTGTAACGGTGACTCATCGTGTAACGGTGATTCATCGTGTAACGGTGATTCATCGTGTAACGGTGACTCATCGTGTAACGGTGACTCATCGTGTAACGGTGATTCATCGTGTAACGGTGATTCATCGTGTAACGGTGATTCATCGTGTAACGGTGATTCATCGTGTAACGGTGACTCATCGTGTAACGGTGACTCATCGTGTAACGGTGATTCATCGTGTAACGGTGATTCATCGTGTAACGGTGATTCATCTTGTAACGGTGATTCATCGTGTAACGGTGACTCATCGTGTAACAGTGATTCATCCAAGTCAACTTGAAAGAAAAACCCCCGATTCAAGGCTTGACAATGTGAAAAGTTGGACCCTCATAGTAAGGATTAAAATAAGTATGAAGGGACAGCCTTTCATTAAAAGAAAATAAAAAAAAAAGAATAAAATTATTAAAATTTTGTTTAAACATAATCCAAAAAAATGTGTATTTATTTGCAATTTTTTGTCTTTTTTAAGAAATAAATTAAAACAAATATTCTTTCTCAATTCCGAGGCAAACTGCACATAGAACAATCAACCAAATTCTCCGGATTTAACATTGTACCTATTAAAAAAATAATAATTAGAGGGTTTATAGGTTGGAGGGAGAGAGGATTGTTCCAATGAGCCCCCTTTGGAATAATTTCGGAATACTAAACAGACTCCGATTGGGACAAATTATATGTCATTCGACTCAGCTCGGCGAGCTGAGTCGAATGACATCAAAAAATCGATTGGGACGTAACTATGGGCCGAGATACAGGGCTCGAAATGGTCAAAAACCATAGGGGGGACCAAGCACTTTTTTGGGGTGAAAAATTCGAAAATGCAAATAATAGCTCATTCGAAAGAGCTCCTCGAGCTGAGTCGAATGAGACCAAAATCGCCGTGATTGGTCAAGTTTGTTCGAAGTTATGACAGAAAAAACAACGTAAACCTATGGGGCGTCGGCGAGGCGCTTGTGCAAAACTGTGACTGTGTGATTTTGGTCTCATTCGACTCGCGGGGAGTCTACAACGTAAACCTATGGGGCGTCGGCGAGGCGCTTGTGCAAAACTGTGACTGTGTGATTTTGGTCTCATTCGACTCGCGGGGAGTCTACGGGCGCTGGGTCTGGGCTAGTAACTTAATCCTATTCCAATTATCGCTGTGATGGTCATGCCCGGCTTTCCTCCGCAGCAGCAAGAACATCCACGGAGAACAAAGGTACGGAGCTCAAACAAACGATCATAACTTTATCAAATCAAAGCGGATTTCGCTGATTTTGGTCTCATTCGACTCAGCTCGAGGAGCTATTTCGAATGAGCTATTATTTGCATTTTCGAATTTTTCACCCCAAAAAAGTGCTTGGTCCCCCCTATGGTTTTTGACCATTTCGAGCCCTGTATCTCGGCCCATAGTTACGTCCCAATCGATTTTTTGATGTCATTCGACTCAGCTCGCCGAGCTGAGTCGAATGACATATAATTTGTCCCAATCGGAGTCTGTTTAGTATTCCGAAATTATACCGCCCCTTTTTGAAGGATTACCCATTTTAGACAAATACTTTTAGGACCCTGATATTGGGGAATGTACATGAACAGGGCAGGACCCAACAGCGCCTAGTAAAAGCCAGAGGATTAATTGGGGAAAGGGACAGTGTCAGTGCTCAGATTGATAGCGATGGGAGCGGGCGGGAGATCGCCGTGATTGGTCAAGTTTGTTCGAAGTTATGACAGAAAAAACAACGTAAACCTATGGGGCGTCGGCGAGGCGCTTGTGCAAAACTGTGACTGTGTGATTTTGGTCTCATTCGACTCGCGGGGAGTCTACAACGTAAACCTATGGGGCGTCGGCGAGGCGCTTGTGCAAAACTGTGACTGTGTGATTTTGGTCTCATTCGACTCGCGGGGAGTCTACGGGCGCTGGGTCTGGGCTAGTAACTTAATCCTATTCCAATTATCGCTGTGATGGTCATGCCCGGCTTTCCTCCGCAGCAGCAAGAACATCCACGGAGAACAAAGGTACGGAGCTCAAACAAACGATCATAACTTTATCAAATCAAAGCGGATTTCGCTGATTTTGGTCTCATTCGACTCAGCTCGAGGAGCTATTTCGAATGAGCTATTATTTGCATTTTCGAATTTTTCACCCCAAAAAAGTGCTTGGTCCCCCCTATGGTTTTTGACCATTTCGAGCCCTGTATCTCGGCCCATAGTTACGTCCCAATCGATTTTTTGATGTCATTCGACTCAGCTCGCCGAGCTGAGTCGAATGACATATAATTTGTCCCAATCGGAGTCTGTTTAGTATTCCGAAATTATACCGCCCCTTTTTGAAGGATTACCCATTTTAGACAAATACTTTTAGGACCCTGATATTGGGGAATGTACATGAACAGGGCAGGACCCAACAGCGCCTAGTAAAAGCCAGAGGATTAATTGGGGAAAGGGACAGTGTCAGTGCTCAGATTGATGGCGATGGGAGCGGGCGGGAGATGGAAATTAATTCATTAACATTTTATTAATCCCAAAATTTATAATTATAACTCCAAAAAATCCCTGAAGATATTATCCCCAAAATCCTCCCAAATATCCCCAAAAATATCCCCAAAACCCCAAACTAACAATGCTTGCAAGTCCATTCAGGTTGTTGTTGTTGTCCACTAGCTTCATTATTATTTCCACTACTACTTCCCCCAGCAGCCCCAACACCACCAGCAACAACATTATTATTTGTTTGACTTGTAGTTGTTGTTGTTTTAATTTTTGTTCGAGGTATTTGCTTTCCAATTTCTCCAATTAACATAATTAATGTTGCAAAATTTGTACTTTCTTGTAACCATTTTTTAGCTTCATTTTCATCTTTTTTAACAACAATTTGAGCCAAATTTTTAATTTCTTCTTTTGAAAATGGAACAAAATTGTTTGTATATAAGAATAGGAGAAAATGAAAATTTGAAGCCATTTCAAGAAATTGATCAGGAAATTTAAACGAATTAAAATATTTGGAGATATCATTTAATTCCTTTAAAGAATAAATTCTTTAATAGAGATGGGAAGGGGTTGAAAAAAGTCCGGATTTAACCCCATCCCCGGGATACACCACAGAGCCGATGAAGTATCATTATCGAACCACCGACATTCTCAATGTCAATACGTCAAGAGTTAAAATGCCTTTAGATTGGGATCAGAGGATGTCACGGATGGGAGGAGGAGAGGCTGGGGAGGAGGAGGTGGTGGGGGGAGGAGGAGGAGGAGAAAATAGGAGAAAAACCCCATCCCCGGGGATACACCAAAGAGCCGATATTCGAATCCGAGACACATCTCAACGCGTAAAGAGTTAAAATGCCACTCCCTTTTAAATTATGATCAAAAAACGACGCGGGTAGGGGAAAAACTCGGGTCAGGTTTGCTCGGTGTTTTCTAAATTTCCTTAGAAATAAATTCCGGATCTAGAAAATATTGGATACCAGACAACCCGTGCCAATCTCATGTTAAATTACTCCCCAAAATAATATTTAAATAAAACCTGTGTCTGTCCAATTTCTGAACGATTTTCAACAGGAAATTCTTTTCCTTCTTTTCCACGAGGGAATGTATAATTAAGCACTTTTCGAACTCCACACGGCACATCAACAAGTAAATATTCAACAGGCATAGGCCTTCCATCACGAAAAACTTCTTCGCCTCTTTCATTTTTCTCCTTAAAAATTTAATTAGTTTTTAGAAAAATTAAATTTAAAGAAAAACCGTATATTGAACAGAAGTAATATAATGCTTTTCGTTTATTGGCGTCTCTCTAGCCCAAGCCAATTCAGGATGTGTTTTTGTTGGACATAAAATATTAGCTTCAACCATCGCTGTGCATTGATTGGAGACTTGATATCCATGCAAATCGATGCCTTTTGACTTAAAAAAAGGAAAAAAATTGAAAATTTATTTTTGAAAATTTTTCGTAAAATCTTAAAAAAATCAAAAGAAACAAACTTTTTTCAAAATTTTTAAGAAAAAAATAAATCCCTTACAGTATTTCCTGACGCAACAACAGTAACAAATTTAGAACCAAAATAACCAGTATCACAATAATTTGTAGCATTTTTAAAATGTGATTGTAAATTGCCAGCAGTTATACATTCAGAAGCAGAAAGTAAAAATGAATCCTAAAAATTAAAAAAATGTTTAAAAAGTTAAAAACGTGAGGTTAGGTTTTGGTTCTAAGTTTCAAATTTTTCGTCGGATCGGTTTCCTGGTAAAATAAGTTCGGGTTACGGGTAACTTGCCAAATAGCCCAGCCAAATCAGGGATGAATTGGGGTTTCTAAAACTTGGCTGTTTTCTCTCAACCCACCAGCCAATGCTTCCTTAGGTAAGCAAACAATAATTTCTTAAAAAATGTCCAAACGGGAAAAAAGTCCAATAAAATGGAGGAGAAGCCCACCAAAACCCCAAAAAAATTTATTCAATTAAAAGAAAAAACCTCATTTCTAATACATTTAACAGTCCCCAATGTCCTCGATTCACTACAAAGATCAGTAAAAATCCAACCAACACGTTTCATTCCCAACCAAAAACAAAGTTGATCAACTTTAACATTCAAATTCTTCTTCTCCTCCCCATTTTCTTCTTCCCCATTTTCATTAATTTCAAATCCAACAGAATTTTCATTTGAATTTTGTAGAGGTTCATAAATTGCGCAAACAACAGCTTTAATCCCCAATGGAACTTCACTAAATTGTTCATATTTTCCAATTAAAAATCCAATACGTTGACAACTTGAATTACGCCAAAAATTTAAAAATTCGTTAACAATAGAGTCATTTTCAAATTCAATATTGTCAACATGACGAAATGGCTTGAAAAATATTAAAAATATAATTTAAAGGAAAAAATTAATATAGATGGGAAGGAACGGAATAACAGTCGGTCGAGTCGGCCAAAGTCCGGGAAGCCAGCAACATCCATGTTTGGAACAGTGCCCTCTAGGTTTTAACTTTTTGACTGTTCCACGGTTCCTTGAATCGGCTCAGTCCACAAACTAGGAAAACACTTATCCCTCGGTTCAAACTCTCGACTGTTTCAGGGTCCCTGTCTCACTGTTATCAGTCAACTAAACAGAAAAAAACTGGTTTGAGAAGTTTTCTCTTAATTCTGGGTTAGATTCCTGTTATCGGTCAGCTAAACCAGGAAAAGAAGTTTGGAGGTGGTCATTAAAAGAAGCTCTAAACACAAGTTAACCCGGACATCATCCGAAAAACATTTGGTGGACCCCCTATTATTAAAAATAAAATTAAATACCTGTCGACTAAGCGTAACAGTAGGTGGTCTGCATTCTGTACAAATTCCTTCAGGGAAAGGCCTGTGCCGATGACAATCCAAATTAATTTTGTAATTCAAAGTTTCAAGCATATTTTTTGAACGTGTTCCCTTTCCATGCAAATCAGACAGTTTGTGAACATAGGAATGAAAGGACATGTGTTTAATGCCTTTATCTGCCAAATATTTTTCATCATATGGCTAAAAAAGAGAGAAATTATTTTAAAGGAGGCGAGTCTCTAGAGCAGAACAGAATCGGTCGGGCTGAGAAAAGCCAGGCCTGGGGTCCGCATTGGGTTTTCAAAATTTTCTTCAGATCAGAGTTCATGTCGGGGTATTGAGGGTAACCCGACTCGTCCCTTGGGCAAGACATAGGGATACATTTGTTGGGCGCGTGCCTAGACCCAATAATTAAAGAATCACATTCGGTTTTTGGCCAAGATGCTTATTAGAGCCGGAATCTTTTAAAAGACTGAGCTCGTTGCTGGGTTTGATTTATCGACCTGGGCCGGATTCTGGGCCTGCAGTCCAGAAAAAACCCATGCCTAGGAAAACCCCAGGAAGGTCAAAGAATGCCTGGGCCTGGACTCTGGATACAGGAAAACTCCAGGCCTCGGTTCAGACCCAGGTCTATCTCTAATGCTTATTTTGCCACCCCTACATTAGAGGGTATTTTCCTGCCCAAAGATCAGACCCTATGATAAACATAATCAAAAAATTTTTAATTAAAAGAAAACCGAACATCAAGAGGAAGACAACCAACACATTTCTGTCTCGGTCCATGAGTACAAGAAGTCCCTTCTTTTTTAATTTTACCGTCCAAAAGTGAAAGAACTTGATCTACATCATCAATAACCACCCGTTCTTTTTGTTGAGAGTTCATTGTTTAAAATAAATTAGGTTTCTAAAATTAATAAGAGATTTAGGAAATTTCGAATAGTGTGATTTGTAAACAAGGTGAGGCGAGGATGAAGTAAATACGACATTCCGAGCCGAGATATAGAACATCGAAGAAAGAACCATAGGGGGCAATTCGTGGGGAAGTTCAAATATAGTCAGCTGCAGCTGTGGAACGAGTTATAGGGTTTGAAATGGTCAAAAACCATGGTGAAGGGGGAGTAAGCGTGGGCCAAGTCTGAATACGCAATAGCTCGTTAGAAAGAGCCTGGTCGAACAAAAAACACCTCCACCAACAAGTCTCAAAACTCAAAAAATTAGTCACAAAATCCTAATAAAAAATCTCAAAAAAATTAAAAAATAATTATCAGCAAAAAACTGAGATTTAAAGAGAAACAAAAGAAAAGAAATATTTTTATTCACAAAACAACTAACATTAAAATAAGTATATGATCAATCAAAATGATGATATTGAGGAAAATAGGGTCGGATTTCTTTTCATTTTTCTTTACTTTTATGTTCTCATTTCTTAGCAATTATTTAACCCTCTAACCGCTCTTAAAGAGAAGAATGGCAACCTGGCCCAAGTAGAAGTAGATGAAGTGCTTGGTCTCATGCCTGAAATTTTTTGAATGTCAAATAAATGTCAGAATGTCAAGGAAATGTCAGAAAATCAAATAAATGTCGGAAAGTCAAAAAAATGTCAGAATGTCGGAGAAATGTCGAAATGTCAAAGAAATGTCACAGAAAAATTTCTGACACATGCCCAGACTCGTGGGAAGTTTTCAAAAAAACTTTTCAAAACTCACGTGACATATGATCCAAAATTGCGCCCAACAATGCAATGCCATGTCGGGTTGAACTTCTTATCGAATTCCTTTTTGATATAGGCAGCAATGTCCTTCTCGATATTATACCTGAAAATTCAAAAAATTTTCACAAAAAATTTTTGGTTTCCCTTACTTCTCAAGAGCCTGAGTTGCACAATCAATCGCCTCAGTTTGCATTTCCTCCGTCATATCGGCATTTTTAATAACTGCCTTTCGATCACCCATTTTTTTTTCTTTGTAAAAAAAGTTTTTTGGTCGCAAGAAAATATAAAGAGAGTCTCTAAAAATAAAAAGAAAATTTGAGAGCTTAGAAAAATGTTAGAAAAAAAACGGAAAAAAACTTGAAAAAAAAAAGAATCAAAAAAATATCGAATGAATAAAAACAACGCGGAAGTCGGCTTTTATACCCGCCCGAAAATCGATGTGTGACGAAATGCAAAATTTTACCCTTCTGACCGAAGTGAAATTTGAGATTTTGGATTTTTTACCCGGGACGTTTCATGACCAGGATAAAAAATAGATGGCCTTTTTATAGCTAGAAGTTTATCGTAACCTTAAAAAGAAGTTTCACGGGGATTAAGCTTAAGAAATTTTAAGTTTAAATTGTTCCCTAAAGCTTAAATATGAAGCAGAGATTTTGTAAAATAATTTTTGTGAAAGAAGCAATTTAACAACTAAAAAATATAAAGGTGTAAAAATTCAACCAATCAGCGTTAAGCTTTTGGATGCGGCTATAGCTGCATCCAAAATTTGTTACCAATTGTTCTAGTGACCCTCAAAAAGTATTTACTAGGTTTTCGTTCAATGAGAGGAAAAATAAAAGAGGAAAAATTATGAGTTGGCATTGAGGAAAAAATTGATTGAAGAATGGAAAAATGATCACGGGCTGATTTTATCCTAAAGATCAAATCTCTAGATGTTAGAGTACACTTGAGTCTGACGGTATAGAATTGTCTCCTGTCAATTTGTCTTTGTGTCCAATTGTCCATCTGGCTTATTGTCTTAAATTCCAATTGTCGCATTTCTCTAGAAGTCGTGAGTACACTTGAGTCTGTCACTTAGTTGGTGCTGAATTGTCTCCTGGCCAATTGTCTTAGTGTCCAATTGTCCTGTATTGTCTTACGTTCCAAATGTCGTGTTCTCTAGGTATTTCCGGATATCCTGACTTTTTTTCGGACATTTCCTAATTTAGTATTTTCCTAATTTTAATATGTTAATCTCGTTCGATGACTCCTCGCTTTTTGAATATTTTTTTAAAATAAATCCTATTTGCCTTCCCATAATGCAATTATTCTTCAAAAATACCCCCCCTCTCCCCCACCTTTTTACATTATTTATTTAGCTTATTTTCACCCCCCAAAATAACCACAATACTAAAAACATTATTTCCATCAAAACAAAAAGAGCAGCAGAATATCCTCTACCCATCAGTCATTCATCGATTATACTTCCCCTCCAATTTTGGTGAAGAGTTTGGGGGAGAGAATGTTTTTAGTAGTTAATTCATCTTCCTTCCTCTTTATTATTTTAACGGGGGGTTTGTTTATATTGAAAATGAATCATTCGAGAATTGAAAAATTTTTTTTAGTATTTTCTCTTCACGATTTTTAATTTTGTTTTAAAAAGTTGCGCATTCTTTTGATTATATCGAAAATCATTTCTCTTTTACCTTATAAATTTTCTAATTTTCCATACTCATTTTCAGTCCTCACAGACCAGTCCGACACGTTTTTCCTTGGATATTCCTATCAATCTTCCAAATACCCTTCTAATCACTAGATATCGGTATTTTTCGAAAATCCTGGATCTGGCTTCTGGAGGGTTTAGGTTAGTAATCTGGACAGGATCCTTGATCTGGATCCTGGAAAATCCATACTGGATCCAGATCCAAACTGATCTCTCCTAATCACTAATCCCTCTATATCCCTCCATTTGGCCTGAACCGAGGTTACACTAGAGGGAAGGAACTGCTCCGTAATTAGTTGGTACTCACTACACTCCGTTGACCCCAGCCGGTTTTAAAAAATTCGTTTAGGCACGGCATTTTTTTGTTTATTTAAATTTATTTTTTCAATTTTCAGTTAATTTTTTGTATAAAAATTTAAATGACTTCAACTTCTTCCTTTGCCGTTGATATTTGTAAATTACCGGAAGTGGTTAGAGAAAAATTGGCTCAACTTGATTTGGAATTAACTGAAGGTTTTTTTAATTTTTTAAAGAATATTTTTTTAATTTAATCAATTCTAGGCGATATAACAGAGAAGGGCTATGAAAAGAAGAGACAACAATTAATTGAACCTTTTTTAAAGAAGACGGTGAAAAAAGGTTTTTTAAGTTAAATTTGTTCAGAAATTATTAAAAATTATTTTAAGAATCTAATAAGAAAGACGATAAAGTTCAAAAGCAGAGACGCCGGACAACTCGAACAGAGACGCGTTACCATTCGGGTATTTTTTAGTTTTGATTAGGTTTTTGGTAAAATATTGAGGGGGAAAATACCGTAAAATGTTCCGGTACCTTTATATTTTCTTTGAACAAAATGTCTCAACAGAAAGTATGAAAAATCCCTTCAGTTTTTCGGAAAATGTCCACAAATGTTTTGACTAAATTGTCCCCAAAGCTTTTGGAAACTGCTTGGTCCGTTGTTGACTGGTTTGCTTTTCTGTGACTCGTCACTTCTAAACGAGCTGCATTTTTTGTTGAGACATTTTTGACAGAGGATCTACCAAAAATCGACATGATTTTCAAGAAGGACACAAGTTAATGAAAACCCTCTGGGCCAATTCCACCTTACCCAAAAAGTCTGTTTTTAAGTCAAAAAATAAAAGGTGACTATTTTTGTGAATTAGGGCACTAGACAAGTTTTTTTAAATCCCCCTTGGCCTGCAAGACAAGTTTTCCGTCTTAATCTTTAAATGACCCGTTACTCGAAAACTGAAACTTTCCTCACCTTGTTTTTTTTATTTTTGGGCATAAAAATTCAATGAAAATCCTCGGGGTTTTGTTCTTTTTATAAAATTAAAAAAAAATTTTTTAGAAATCCGTCAAGAAGCAGTCCAACAAGCCTTATCTAATTTGGAAAATAAAAACAACAAAAAAGAGGAACAGCAACAAAACAACAACAAAAATAATTTTTTAATTTTGCCAACACAACAACAAAATTCCAAAACTGGCTCATTTATTTCATTTCGACAAAGAATTGGTTCTAGAAATTCAAGGAAAATGCAAGGAGCACAGACTAGTGGTTTGTTTATTTTTTTGACTTTAATTGTAAGGATTTTGGGGTGTGTAAATGGATGAGGTGTTTGTTTGTGGAATTTTCCTCCATTTCTTTTATTTCACGGCTATCATATATTGTCCGAAAAATTTTTCAACCCGATACCTGATTCTTTCCCGTCTTAATCCTTTAAGTGACTAGTTACTCGAGAACCGAAACTTTTTTTAACACGAAACCCTATCCGAAGAAAATTTTTAAAATCTCGCTTGCTCGCCTTTCTTACATAATCGTTACGTTCAACTAACCTCTAGTCAGTCTTAAAGAGTTGCAAGTGCCATTATCTTTATTTTAAGCCCTTAAAAATATTTTTTAGAATAAGTAAGAGATTTAGGGAAATAATAGTTTAATTATATTTATTTGTTTGTTCAAAATATATTTGCAAACATAAAAACATGTTGTTCATCTTCTCCTCTTTTTTTGTTTGTTATTAGTGGTAGTACTTATTTTTTACTACTAACTAATATGTATTTATTGTTCTTGTTTTCTTTTTTTTAACAATTATTTGTTTATATATTGGTCTTTAAATCTTTATAGGTAATACTTTAAATATTTTTTTGGGTATATTTTACTATAGATATCCTTCTATTTCCTCTAATAAAAGCTCCTAATCTAATTTAAAACAAGGCGAGGTTGGGGTATTAGAAACCCCGGAAACTTTAACTTTATGACCCGAAACCTGTTCTGAAGGAAATTTTGAAAAGTCCGATCCTAAACCCCGACCCGATTTTTCTTTGTTAACTCGGCCCATCCCTGATTTGAGGCTCTTCTTGAAATGAACGCGCGAATCTTTATTAAAGGGCTGAAAAATTAAACTTACCTAATGCTTGGCAAATAAAATTTTTTTTCTAAATTTCCAAAAATTTTTCCTTAAAAATATTTTCATTCAAAAAAAGTTTTTTGATAACCTCAAGAAAAACTTGCGCACTTCTTTTCTTAATACTTCACCTTCATTCTCGATATTTTCCCAATATTTTTTTTATTTGTTCGAGAACTTTTTCCCTCTACTATTATATTATTTTTTTATTTGTTCCTCTTCTATTGTAAATATATCTATAATCAGCCTAGGACCTTCCAAACAAACACAACCTCCCAACCAACCAACTCATTTTCTTTTTTTTATTGTCACAAAAATGAGCCTTATTTTTTATTTTATTTTTTAATATTTTATGCGCAAATTTTTTTTATATTTTTTTTTATTTTTTCTCGCAACCGGTTTCTCTTTTTTCAAAAAAACTTTGTTTAAATTTTTAATTTTGTGTGTCAAGGTTATAATATTTTTTTAGGTTTTTTAATTTTTTTTCTGAGGGTTTTTGATAAATAAACTAATAATAAAATTAAATTTATTAATGACACATTTTTGGGTTTAAATTCCAAATAACTGATCTAATGATTGCGCGCTCCCTATCAACGTTTGTTCTTTCTGAGAGTTTTACCCGTCTTTTGAATGATAAAAAAATTTTTTTACACTATTATCAGAAATGCCGCAGGTTCGATTCCTGCTTGGAGGCTAAGTCTTTGCTAAAAATTTTTACTCAAGTTCAATATTCCACTAAAAAGCAGCGATGCAGGGCCTCATTTTAATTGCCCACAGACTTTGCATTCTTTCCGATTCCACCGAGTCTGTGGTCAATTAGTAAAATAGGGCTCTGTTGATGATATTGTGATACTAATCGCTTAAAATCCGATATTATTTTCGCTAATACTCTCAAGTTCTTTTCAATCATACCTCGGCTCTAGACGGTCTCAAGGGGTGATGATTTTAGCAAGATCTTGAATTGTTAAAGTCTAATTTATTTTTTTAAATTTTGTTTTTTACTATTTACGCGATCATAATCAGAACATAAATTTTCTAAAAAAATTTTTTGATCACTTTTAATTTGCAAAAAAATTTTTTTTTGATTAACATCCTTTTATATGATTCACATATTTTATTTATTTTTTCCATCAATTTTTTTCTTCTAATCACTTTTTTTCCTAAACTTAATAAGCCTAATTTTTCCTTCTTCTTCCAAATATCTTCCATTTAAATCATTTATATATCCTTCTTTATCTTTTATAAATATTTCTGTCCCTCCAACACTCTGTCACCCACTCATTTTCTTCTTCTACCAAATGTCGTATCCCCTACTACACCTTCTAAGTAAGTATTATTCTTTCTTTTTTTACCGCACCACTACAACAATTGAGCATCATCAGCAAGTATATATAGAGCATCTGGCTCTGACTAAGTGAGGTAGATATTGAGGGGAAGGGGGGGCTGGGGGTGTTGTTGAGGAAATAAAAAGGGAAGGAATGAAGGGGCGAGGGAATGAATGGACTCTCTGTTTTGGGCAATAAAAATTGAGACTTTTTTGTTGTCCATTTTTCTCCTTTTTGTGTGTGACGGCAACCGACACTCTACTACTGGACGTTATATAGTTATAGTGGCCACTCAACAGTTGACAACAAAGAAAAGAATTTTATATTTATATCCCCCCTATAAATATATGTGTCTTTTTTTGTATTTTGTCCTTCAGTTACTCGATATATTTATTTTTTTCTTCCCTTTTTTAGTTGAGGTGAAAGAGAGATGAATTAAGTGTGTTTAATTTTGACAACCCCAAGTTTTTAAGGAATTTTTTCCTTTCTTTTTTCCCTAATTTATTTTTTTTTAAATAATTTATACCAGGTTTTGGCAGTATCTGCATCTGGATATATTCGTGTAACTCTTGAGTATCCGTATCAGGACTGTCCTCAATTGAATAAAATATCCGCAGCCGTATTTTTAATTTTTAAAATCTGCAATTGCACAAGTCAAAAAAAGCACACACGCAGATTTATGCTATCCCACAACACGCAATCCTGCAAATTGTGGACAGCCTTGATTCGGTTCCTTCTTTTCAAATTATTTTTTACTTACTTTCTTTTTAGAAGTCTGAATTTTTTCTTGTAATTCTTTTATAGAATACGTTGTGGTTTTTCTTATTTTTTAAAAAAATTCTGACAAATAAACTGACCCTAAAAATATTTTTTGTTCTATTTATTGCCTCTATATTACCTTTATCTATTGAGAGCTTGTTTTATTTTTATTGGTCATTTACTTGTAAAATTTATAAATAAAATTGCCAATTGAATTTTTCTTTCCGCCTTGTAACGGGGATTTGCTTGAGACTAACATGTTTCTTTCTTAAGCTTAGAAAGTGTTGGATAGACAGGAAACCCTCTCCCTCCTCACAATTCTTTTACTTTTTTAGCAACATTTTTACACTGCGCGCATACTACCAATTTTCATTTTAAATTTTATATTTTTACTAATTTTTCTTATTTTTGCATATTTATAAAATGTGTCTCCAAATTTTAATTTTCGAATTTTCTACATAATTTTTCTTTAGGAAATTATTTTTAAAAAAATTATTTTTTATTTAATTTAAAAAATGCGTGAAAAATTGACGGTAGAAACGGATAGACACATTGCATATTTGACAATTTGTAAGGAAGCTCTAAAAAAAATATTTTTTTGGATTTTAATAATAATTATAAATTAATTAGAGTCTAGAGAGAGTCGAAGAGATTTTCGAAAAAAATTTCGAGGTATTTTTGGAGATATCGATCTCCAATTCTCGTAGGATACACTACCAATTCCCGGTTTTTAATTTAATCATTAACAGAGCTTTTTCAAAATTTTAATTTCCGATTTTTTAAGATTTTTTTGTTTGGAAACAGCTCTACCATCCTCAAAATTTTAATATTCTTTTTTTTGGCTTTAAGAATCTTAAAAAAAAAAGATTTTTTTTGAATAATTAAAATATCACACCCTTAAAATAATTTTTATTTTTTATTATAGACAGCAGTTCAAATGACGAAGACGATCAAATGGAAGAAGGAGGGAATTGCAGCACATTTGATAGTGGGACTGGTGACAGTGCTAAAAACAACAGCAGCAAAAAAATTCGTCGCGACAAAAAATTAAAGGAAGAAAAAACAAAAATTGGCGATGATGGCGGGAAAGGAGGAGGAAGAATAAACGGAGAAGAAAAAGAAGAAGATCAAATTGATGGCAAAATATTAACAAAAAATGTTTTATTAAATGGTAAAGAATTTTTTTTAATTATTTTACCACAATATTTTTCTTTTTAAGAAGAATCGTCGTTAACTCAACAAAAATACAATTTAATAGAAGAAACATCAGGATATATTTCTATGCTTCAAATACAAAATAATGTAGGTTTTGGAATTTTGAGGCTAAAAATTAGAGTTGTTGGCGACCTTGTTAATCAAATGGAGGGTTTGAAGACATTAACCCACCGCCTGCAAAAATTAACCGGTCACCAACTATTAAATTCTCTTTTATGAGGGTTATCTAGTAATTGTATATCGCTTTGTTGCTCCCATCAAGTCACTGATCAATCGAAAAAAATTTTCAAAAACATTTTAAACTGAGGCGTGACTAATTCTGGGGCTATTGAAGTTTAACTATTAAAAATTATATTTTAATTGGAATATTTAAACAAAAATTTTTTTAATTTTATTTTGATTTATTTTTAAATTTTTTTAGAATTTTGAACCAAAACCTGGACCTAGTCAACAACAACAACAAATATTTGAAGAACCAAAAAATCATTTATCTTCTCCAATTTCAGCAAAAAATAAACAAAAATTGTCTAAAAAAGAAGAAAATGTCGTTAATAATTTTTCATCAAAAAATTCTCCACTTCCTCCACTTCCAAAAAATTTGACAGAATTTTCTGAAAAAATAGATAATCAACATCATCATTTACCTTTTCTTAGAAGAAGAAATTTTAATAATGGGAGCAATGGAAGAGGAAAAGAAAATAACAACAACAATAAATTACAACATAAACCTTCACAAATTGCTAATCGGACTTCTGTAAAAAATTTTTTTTAATTACAAAAATTAGGTAATATTAGAGACAGGACTAGAAGTATCTCCAAAAGTAATAATTTTCGATGACTGAGATTTTTTTCTCGAGATATTAAAAGAAATTTCTCGAGATTGAAAAAAAAGATAAATTCCTAATATCTAGAACGCATGTGCGTGCATGGGTATGTCCATTATCTTGATTTTTTGGATACGCAAATTATTTCCCAGCAACGGAGAAAATTTTCAGTTCCCCTGTTTACATGCAAAACCTTTTAATCAAAAAATTAAAAAAAAAATTTTTATTAATATAATTAGGTATTATTTTAAATTTTTTTGAAAGGTTTTACTATTGGAAGATCGCCCCTTACCTCAATTACCACAACAACAATTTTCAACAAATTCAGACGATGATGAAATTGAAGATGAAAAACAAGAAGAATTAGAAGAAGATTTGGTGGGAGAACCTGAACCTCCAGTTTATGTAAATTCTACAAATGATTCTGGATTGGGAGGTTGTTCTTCAAATGCTCCAAAAGATTATGCAAATACTTCTAAAACTCGTAAATTTTTGAAAAAAATTTTTGGAAAAATTTTTTTGAAACAATTTTTGGAAAATTTTTGGAATCCAGGAATAATATTCTTGAAAAATCCTCAAAAATTTTTTCCCAAAAATTTTGCATAAAAATTAGAGTTACTAGGACCGGTTAATTTTATAGCCTGTGTTACACTTTAGAACATTTTAACTGCTTCAGGCGAAAATTAACACCTTTCACCAACAACTCTCTACTAGATTGTTGGCGACCATTTAGCTTTTCAAAAAAAATTTTCTTATTAAAATACAAAACCTTTTACAATTTTCTTTTAAATTTTCAGCAGTAAAAACAACGAGAATATCAGAAAAAATTCAACAAGTTTTGCATTCTCTTCAGGTAGCTTTCTAAATTTTAATATTATTTAATTTTGTTGGGTCAGCGACCGGTATTTTTTTCAATTTTTCCCAAAAAAATTTTTTGATTTTTAAATTCTTTTTTATTGAATTTTGCTAATTTTTATTGGTATACTTTTTTAATTTTTTTAAAAGTTCCCCGCTATTCAATAAAAAAAAGTTTTATTTACCTGTTTAAAAAATAACACATCAGTCAGGTGTTCATTAAATTTCGGGAGAAGAGCGCCCCCTCAGTTGATAATATTTTTACTTTTAAATTTGTGTACTATTTTTTAAAAACGTAGGTAATCGAGAAAATATTTTTTCTATTTTTTTACTTTGAAAAGGAATTTTTGTGAATTTTTTAATTTTTTTAAATTAATTTTTTAAAATTTCTTTTGTCCTTTTATTTTTAATTTTAAAAATTTTTCCTTTCATCTTCACGCATTTTTTCTTCTTCTATTTTTGCATCACTATACTACTCTACTCATTTCCTCTTCTGATTTTTCTTTCTGATTTATTAAACACTTATTTGTTGTAGTTGTTGTAAACTCATAAATCTCCTTCTCTTTTTTTTTTAATTTTCATTTTTCAACCATACATTCCACGCTTTCCTCTCTTCTAGAATTGATAGAGAAATTGCTGGCTTTCAAAAATTTTTTTATTTCACAGCAAGATTTATTCTTTTTTCAATTTTCTAGTAAGGAAAGCTGCTCATGCATAATTTATGGAAATTAAATAAAAGATTTTTTTAATTATTTGTTTGCATTTTTGCTTATCTCGTTTTTTATTCTGAACATTACACTCAAAAACATTAGTAATCTAATTTCTAAAACATTTTTACTTTTTATTCTATGTTTTCAACACGTTTTTATTTGTTTTCAAGTTTGTGTTTCTATATTTCAACATTTTCTAAAACATTGTTTATTCTTTGTTTTTGGGCATTTTTTAGGCAGCTCCTATTCTGAACATGTTTTTCCAACTTGTTTTCGAATCCTTTTCCAACTTGTTTTTGAATCTTTTTCCAACTTGTTTTGAATGTTTTTAATATTTTAAACTTTGTTTTTATTGTTTCAAACATGGTTGATTGTCTATTTTCTTTTTATTTTAAGCATGTTTTAGTCTTTTTCTTGTTTTATCTCGTGTCAATCCCTTCTCTGTTGAATCTTCTTTCTAATTGTCATTTTAAAATTTAACTAAAAATTTATATATTTTGTTGTGGTCACATTTCCTCTCCTCCTGACACTAACACAAAATTTATATATTTTTGCACAGCTGTTGTGTCTTCTTCTAATTTTTATGTAGATTTGCGCCATGTGCATATTTATATATCCCTCGTATTTTTTTGTTTTTAAAGGCCAAAGCAGCAACAGCTTTGTCAACAACAAACATATAAATCTAAATTTAAATATTTAAATTTGCATTTTTACATTTTTCCAACTTTCCTTCTTTCTCGTTAAACAAGGAAATTATTGTCTTGTTTGTTGTTGTTGTTGCAAAAATAAGGAAATTTAATTTAAATTTTTTACAAATTTCCACAAAAATCTTTTTTGCAAATATTTTATTTTTCAAAAGAAATTTTTTTTATTTTTCCATTAGGAAATTTTCTGAATTTTTTATGTTAATATTTTTTTTCGACAATTTTTATTATTTTTGTAGGTTATTTAATTTTGTTTATCTTATTTTTGAGAGAGCTTTTTTGGGAGATTTTTTGGAAGGTTTATTTTTTTGGAGTTTAGCTGGAACATCAGAGACCCCATACTAGAAGTGTCATATGAGAAATGTACGGGATATTAAAAAATTTTTGTCTCGACAAATCTCTTCTAGATATAAAATTAAATAGAAATTTGACCTTTCAAAAAAATTTTTTTCTGGCCAGATTATATTTATTTTTGGATTAGGAGGAGGTGTCTGTAAGGAGATTAATTTTTAATTTTTTATTTAAAAAATTTTTTTCACACTTCTCTACAATTTCTTTAAAGCTTAGGTATATTAATCTCTTTAATTTTCTTTTTATTTTTTTACCTATTAAGAGTTAAACGGCTGTTGCTACATTTTTTATAAGCTTCTAAGAAGAGAAAGTTTTTTGCTTAATATAAATATTTTTTTGTTTTCTAAGATTTTTTTGAAAAATATTTTTTAGATAAAAAAATTTGAAATTTGATAATTTTTAGGCTATCAAAGGAATTTTTATTTAAAATATTTTTTTCTTAATTTTTTTTTTGTGTTTTGAATGGCATTTTTTATATCATTTACTAGCCTCTCTTAAATTTTTTTCTCAGAATTTTTAAAAAATAATTTAAATTTTAAACTTTATTTTTGCTTTTTCTATCTTTAATTTTTTATTAATGATTTTTTTTATTTTCGACTTTTCTTTTTAATATTTTTTTAAATATTTTTTTAAATAAACAAATCTTTTGTTTTAAAAGATTAATTTTAATTTTCAATTAAAATAGCTATTTCAAATTTTACCTATTTTTATTTTAAATCTACCTATTTTTTTCAAATTTTACCAAATTTTACCTATACTCTATTTCAAATTTTTGACACATTTTTGACCACTTCTTTATCATTTTATTATTATTACAGCATTTATAAATTATTAATATTTGATCATCTTTCTAACTCATCAAAATAAATAATAATTATTATAATCTCTATTCTCCTCTCTTTTAACTCATCAAAATGTATGTTTTAATGGAACATTCGGGTAGGCTTCATTCACCTCCACCCGATCGTCGTCATCATCATCATCCTAAAGCTGTTTTACGTGCTCGTGCACATAAACATCAATCGCCTCCACCTTTTGAAGGGCAACAACAACAGCAACAAAAGTCTCCTCTTAAAAATGTTAAATGTCAATCATTAGATAATGAAATATTAAAAAAAGGAAATAAGGGGGAGGAAGAAGAAGAGGATATAAGCAAGTTTAAACAATTTGTTTCTAAAATAGCAGAAGAAAATAAAAAACAGCAACAACAACAACAAAAACATTTGTTAAATGAAAGAAAATTGTCAACAACAAAACATCAGCAACTAAATAATCCAACTTGTTTTGCAACAACATCAAAACATTTAAATAAACATGCTCAGCAAAACAATTTACCAACTTGTTTTGCTTCAAGTTTTGCTTCAAATTCAAATAATGCTAATAATAATGCTGATTATTCCCAACTTCCTCCACCTATTAGATATCGTTTCCGCCCTCACCTTTTAGCCAAAGAAGAAAAACATCCTCCATATCAATGGAAAGAAAATAATTTTATTAATAATTTAAATAATCAAAATATGCTTTCAAATAATTCTCAACAATGCTTCATTCCCCGCTCAACACAGTTGATAAATCGACAAGTTATGCTTCACGGCAACAATAAAGTTGGGCCAATTAATGAAGTTTATGAAGAAGTGAAACAATTAAAAAGTGATGGAAAGGCGAAGCAACAAGAGGAATTGAAGCAAAATAAAGAAGATTCGAAGATAGAAGCAAAGAAATTGAAACAAGAAACAAAAATATTGAAGGAATTGAAGTTGAAGCAAGAAAAGAATGTGAAGCAAAATAAACAAAATGTGAAGCTAGAAAAGGATGATAAACCAAATCTGAAGCAAAATGAAGTGAAAGATAACGAAGAGAGAAATATAAAAGTGAAGCAAAATAAAAAGGATTTAAAACAAAAAGTAAATCAAGAGGAAGAATTAAAGCAAAATTTGAAGCAGAATATGGAAATGAAGCAGAATAATAATAATATGAAGCAAGGTGTTGAATTATTGGAAGATTTGAAGAAAGATAAAAAAGAAGAGTTGAAGCAGGAGGAGAAATTGAAGCAAAACATTAAGCAGGAATTAAAACAGAAATTGAAACAAGAAGTGAAGCAAGAAATAGATCAAGATAAAGATACTAGCAGCAATTTTAGCAGCAATAAGAAACAACAAAAGAAGCGTCTTTCAATCCAAACAAGTCATCAAAATTCTTTACGTAGAAGTTTATCACAGTCTCGATGCTGTTCATCTTCAATAACTTCAAGTAATCAACATCAACAAAAATCTGACAATTTTTTAAAATTTATGTCTAGATCGAAAACATCAACAAATTTAGCAACAAACTTGGCATCAAATCGAAGTAGAGAATCAAGTATATCTTCACTTTCTTGGCATCGTTTAATTCGTGGAAAATCACCAAAAAACAGTATAAACAGCAATAATTCTTCTTATTATTCACCAAAAATTTTAAATAAAACTAAAAATAATTTTGATGCTTTTTTAAATATTTTTAATGCTTCAGAAAATTTAAAATTTGTGGAAAAATGTTGGGAAAGAAAAAATATTAATAATTTTTCTTCAAATAATCAAAAATTAGAAGAAAATTCATTTATACGAGTTCAACGTGAATTAAAATGTATAGAAGAACGTAGAGCTTTAACTTTGGGAAGACGAAAGGGTTACCGAAAAAATATTTGTGTCGCTGACCTAATTGGAGTTGAAAATTTGTTGTTAAATAAAAAATTGTTGAAAGAACAAGAACAAATTGATAATGAAAATGTTGATTATTTAATATTGCAGAAACCAAAACAAAGGGAATTGGAGGAATATTATAATGATGATGATGCTGAATTAGAAGGTTTGAAAGAAGAGAAAAAAAATTTTCTTGAATTAATTTTAAGTATACAAGTAAGATTGGGAGTTTCTGGGAATTCCTCGGATACTTGAAATCGGAACTGATAACTGAACCTAAAAAATTCCCAGATATCCTTACTTTTTTTCTGGTTCAGGATATCTGTCTGTAACTGCCAACTCTATATAACTTAAAAGAACCCTATGAATAATTGGGTTGCCCGGTTGGTTCCTTTACTTTATTTCGAATTCCTTCTCTCCAGCAGCCTAATTTTTTACACCATCTAATCACCCATTTCTTGCTCTTACTTTTTCCTTCACTAATAGCGACAACCCCTTTAACCTTAAACTAATTTACCTTATTTTTAGTTATGGCAAACATTGTAGACGCAAATGCCCCTCGCCCTTCAGGCCAATTAATTACACCCTGTAGGGCTGATTTTCCTGGATGTGCAACACCCCCTCCGTTACCTCGTTCAATTGAAACTGCACCTCATAAATGGGCAAATACACAACCTAAAGCAATAGCTGCTGTACAATTAGATGCAAACAATAATTCTTCAAAACCTTCAAACAATTTAACTTATGGTAAAATAAATAATTATTATAATACATTGAGTAGGGTTGGTGGATCCGATAAAAATTTTAGGCAAGGATATCGGATTCGGAATATTCGGGGATTTCCCATTATCCGCTAGCCCTAATTATGAGAGACTTAGGAACTTGGGGTGGGATTTTTATTCCGCTTCCGTCTTCCACCGAATTCAGTCTTTTTTGGCTCTTTCATTTTTCTTCTTCCGCCTAATTTGTTTTTTTTATTTTTTCCCGTTTTCTCGACAGACGGCAAGGGCCCATCCCTGTTAAGAATCAGCCTAGACAAGTTGAACAGCTCTAGAGATCGGATCCTATTTTTTATTGACCTTTGGAAAAGTTTATCTCTAGAATGGGAAGACTCATATTTCAAAAAATTAATTTAAAAAATTTTTAAGCTAAACTTCTTAGCCGTGCTGTTAAAATAGCTTATACTTTGCTAAATAAAATTGTTGTTATTCCTTCGACTTCTGGCTCTGGTGGAAAGGAACGTGTTCATTTGTGTTTACCTGGAGATCGTGTGGCCTTGGTTTATCCAAATAATGAAGCTCCAGCATTTCTTTGTGCTTTTTATGGATGCCTGTTGGCAGGTGTTGTTCCTGTGCCTATTGAAGTGCCAACAGCTAAACGAAGCGATACTGCCGGGATTCAACAATTTGGATTTTTGCTGGGAAGTTGTGGTTTGTGAAAAAATTTATTTTTTTTTAAATATTATTTTAAGAATATCCAGACAAAAAAAAATATTTTTTTGTCTGGATACAAGCTTATGCTACGGTTACATAAAAATCGCGCGCGTCTTGAGACAGACGCTCGGCGACAAGACGCGCGCGACAGTCGCTAGTGGTGTGGTTACATAAAATCGGCGTCTTCCGCAAAAGCGACTGTCGCAAAGCGACAAACGCTGATTTTATGTAACCACGCCACTAGCGACTGTCGCGCGCGTCTTGTCGCCGAGCGTCTGTCTCAAGACGCGCGCGATTTTATGTAACCACTAAATCCGATTAAAAATTTTTTTAAATATTTATCATACTAAAATAAAATTTATAAAATCAAATCATTTTATTCTGCCATGGTACCGATCAGGGGTGGCGCTCCTCTCGTATCTCGTGAAATCTCGTGTTTTTTAGAGGTCTCGTATCTCGTATTTTGCCACAAGACACGAGATATTTTCAATATATTTTAGAAAAAATGCCCAATTTACTCGATACCACAAACTATTAGGACCTGAATGTACCGGAAATTTTTATTGTTTGACATCGATGTTAATCAAAATTTGACCTTTTTAGCTTAGCAGTAATAAAACTTCTGAGTTTTATAGTAAAACTAGGGTTTGACCCCGAACGCTCGGGGGCGGGTATGTCGGGGTACGGGGTTTTCGAATTGTTTCGGGGCGGGGTTCGGGTCGGGGGAGCAAAATATGCTCGGGGTTCGGGTCGGGGTACGGGGTTTTAGGAAAAAATTTTTTAAAGAAAAAATGCTCTAAAAATGAGCCATTTTGGGTCTATTTTCGTTAATATATTCACAAATTAATGAGAATAAGGTGGGATTAAATGGAAATAAGAGAAATTTGAGTGATTAATTGGATCTGGAGGTGATTACGGAGGATTTGGAGGGATTAAAGCGGATATCTGGGGATATAAGAGGATTTGTAGGGACTAAGGGTAGTTTCAAGGCGGGTTCTCTCTCTCTTCTGTCTGTGGTTTTTCTGTCCTTGGGTCAATTAATCACAATTTTTAACCTATGAAAAATAGAATGGCGGCCATTCAATTAGAATGTTAGTGATATCCGGATATTTCAAGGGATCCAAGGGAATACCGAGATTTTTAAGTATCCTTTTAAATCTCTTAATCCCTTCAAATCCTCTGATCTCCCGATATCTATTACGTAAAAATTTTTTATGTGAAAATCCCGAAATCCCACGGGATTTCGCTAAATTTTAGAAAAGGATTACGGGATTAATCCCGCGGGATCCTGTCTTGGAACAAGTCCTGTCTTGGAACTAACTTGGAACAAGTTCTAGAACTGGAACTAAGGAATTTTAAAAATGGAGTTCCGAAACTGGAACTACAAAAATAAAAAACCTAGTTCTGGAACTGGAACTAGTTCCAGAGAAATTTTGGAACCTTCCCATCACTGATCGTCAACTTAGTCATGTTTATTAGTCTCAAAAAGTCTTAAAACCTCGATTTTCCCCAAATTTTTTGTCCCTAACTATATGGGACGAGCCCTACTTATCAAGAAATGGTCATTTTTTCATGTTTTTGGTATCATTTGATAGAGAATCAAAAGCTCTACAACATATCAAAAAATCAGAATTTTTGACCGATTGATAAAAAAGTTATGATACTGAGAATCTCAAAAATATCGAAAAAAAAAGAATATTTTTTGCAAAAAGTATACCTTTTTCAAAACCAATTTTAACCCATAAGATTTAACTTTAAAAATATAAAATTTATATTGACCGATAGAGAATAAAAAGAACTTTCAGAATCTTTTTAAATTTTGAAAATTAGATCAGAATTGGCCGAGAAATGATCAAGACGCTAAAAGTTGTCGCCAAAAATTCAAACATGTTTGAATTAAAAAAAGTGTCGCCGGCGACAAGACGCCGGCGGAAGACGCTTTTTATGTAACCACTAGAAAAAAGCGACAAGACGCCGGCGTCTTGTCGCTGGCGGAAGACGCGGTTTATGTAACCACTCGAAAAAAGCGACAAGACGCCGGCGACAAGACGCCGGCGGAAGACGTATTTTATGTAACCACTAGAAAAAAGAGACAAAAATTTTTTCCTCTTTTCTCTCCTCTTTTTACATTATCTTTTCTGTCGCAAGACGCGCGCGATTTTTATGTAACCGTAGCATTACGTTTAATAAGGTTTTCGGTCTGTAACATCAAAGGATAATCTATTTCCTCTAATAGAATGCCCGGGCATTCTATCTTTAATGGCCTTTTCTATTGAAGAGGTGCAATTTATTTACCGAAGTTACATTATACCTATTGTTAGACCACGGTACAGCACGGTACCGGGGCATTGGCTTTGTTGTTGCCGACTTGTTCCCATTTGAACAGTCTAAAAATAAGATTAATCCACAAATTTTGATTTTTTTCATTCTTATTATATAGGTGTTCGTGTTGCTTTAACAACAGAACGTTGTTTAAAAGGATTGCCTAGATCATCAAATCAACAAACTACCAACAATACCTCTCAAAACTTTTTGCCTTCTTCACCTTCAAGTAGTGCAAATTCTACCCTTTCCCCAACTTCCACCCAACGCGATCCTAGTCAATCACCAGCACCAAATCGACAACAACAAAATTTGGGAGATTTGGCTGATTTTAAGGTTTTTTATAAAAATTTTTTTAAAAATTGTTTTTTCTGTTTTAGTGCTGGCCAAGACTTCATTGGGTAGTTACTGAACATTTGCCTAAACCAGCAAGAGAATGGACATTGCCTTCTTTAATGTTTGTTTAAATTATTTTTCTTTTTGGGAGGTTTTTCTAGTATTTTTCCATATCCCCTCCTTTCCTTAAAGTAGGGTTCGACCTCCGTTCCCGGAGAAGGGAATTCCCCAGGGGAGGTCATGGGGGACCCCCCGTTCCCCGAAACCGAATTCCCCGCAAACCCCGTTCTTCGTACGATCAGCCCCTGCCCGTAAGTTCGCACCCTCCTTTAAAATACTTACTCATTTTTTCTATAGAGCAGATGAATCTATTGCATATATAGAATATAGCACAGACCGGGAAGGCTCTGTTCGAGGTGTTCAAGTTTCTCGTCAATCAATGTTAGCCCATGCTAGATCCCTTTGTTTAGCTTTAAATTACAAAGAAGGCCAAACATTAATTTGTGTGTTGGATTTTAAAAGAGAAGCTGGACTTTGGCATTCTTGTATAGCTGCAATATATGCCGGAATGCGTGTTATATTTGTTCCATATTCTTTGTTGAAAATTAATCCTACATGTTGGCTTTTACAAGCAACTCAACAAGTTTGTTTTTAAGAAAAGTTTTTTTTGGATCGCGCCATGATACCAAAACGCTGAAATACCAAACCCCCAAAAGAGGCCAAAATTTCGGAAAATATAGAGTATAATTGGCGATTAGAAAATATTATTTTGGCATTTTTACGTGTCTTTTGGGGGGTTTGGTATTTTGGCGTTTTATGACGGCATTATATTAATAATTTAAATTTCAATTGAATTTTTTTATTAGTCTGCTCAATTTGCTTTAGTCAAATCTCGTGATTTACATTGGTCTTTATTAGCAGTTCGTGATCATTCTCAATTACAACTTGGCTCTCTAGAACGGATTTTGGTTTATTTTATATTTTTTAAATTCTAGTGTTGAGCACTTTAAGTAATTTATAATTTTTGCGGACATAATTTTCGGCTTGAAAATGTCCGCAATAATTTTGTGGACCTAAAATATCCGAAAAATATGTTCGCATTTTTAAGATATAAAATTTTTCAAGGTCAGTGATAGCGCCAATCCTTGGGCTCTTTCCTCTTGTGATCAATTTTGTGCTGTTTTCTCAAAGCGCGGTCTATCCCCAACAGCAATATGTCCATGTGCAGGTTCTTCCGAAGCTGGCACTGTTGCTTTAAGACAACCATTTAGACAACAAGAAAATGAACAACAAAATAACGAAAATGTTAATAATAACGAGCAACAACCAAAATGGGGAAGTGGTAGAGGAACTCTTTCAATGTTGGCACTTAGTTATTGTGTTGTTCGTCTGGAGCCAGAAAATTCTATTAATTCTTTGGCAATACAGGTTTAAAAATTAATTTTTAAATTTAATAGTAAGGTGAAACAAGGGCATAGCCAGGGGGCTTCTGGGGCTACAGCTCCCCCCCCCCCCCCCTCCGAAATGGGGAAAAGGGAAAAATCTGAAACTTTTTTTGTGGACAAATATGTTCTGTCCGCAACTTTTTTTTAATAAATTTAAATAAAATAAAATTATATTTTTTAAAAAGGATGCAGGTCAAGTAATTCCTGGAGGTATGGCTGTTGTTGTAAAATTAAATGGCCCTCCAAGCTTATGCCGTTCTGATGAAATTGGAGAAATTTGTTTACATTCAACATCAACTTCAAATGGGTTTTACGGCCTAAAAGGACTTTCTTCAAAAATATTTGATGTTTTACCTTTGGGAATAGACGATAAACCTATTGGACCTTTACGTTATGTCCGTTCTGGATTAATTGGATTTTTGGGTCCAAATGGAATGATTTTTGCTGTTGGCGCTAAACAATCATTGTTATATGTTTCTGGAAGAATTCATAATTCTGATGATGTAAGAAAATTTTTTTTTAATTTTTTAAAGGTTTATTTTTTATAGATAATTGCAACTGTACTTGCTGTTGAACCACAAAAATTTATTTATAGAGGTTTTTTAATATTCAAAAAATTTTTTCTAATTCGTAATTAAAGGTAGAATTGCTGTGTTCAGTATTCGAGTACTTCGTGATGAACGTATTTGTATTGTAGCTGAACAAAGACCTGAAGTAAATGAAGAAGATGCTTTTCCGTGGATGGTATATAAATTCAATTATAATTTTTTATAATGAAAAGGTTCTTTTCTTCTCTTAATTTCAAAATTTCGAATTTTTGTCATCAAGTCTTATACTATTTATCAGGGTTATGTCGGTTCGCCTTTTGTCTTTCGCTTTTTAAAATCAGTCTGGACACACTTTCCTGCTGTTGTTCTATCCAAGAAGGGTTATTTATGGGAAAAATAAGAGGATAAATAAAGTGTATGCTTGGTGGAGGACCTAAAATTTCCTAAAAAACTCACACAGCAAAAAATTCTACTTGGGGATACCTTTGGAAACCTTTGGGGAGAACAAAATTTATAAACTTAAAAATTTGTTTTCAAAGGTTCGTGTTCTCCAAGCAATTGATTCTGTACATAACCAGCTTGGAATTTATTGTATTTGTTTAGTTCTTCCAAATCAGTTACCCAAGGTTTTTTAAAAATTTTTTTAAATAAATTTTTCTTAAAAATTTTAAAGACTCCTCTCGGTGGTATTCATGTTACTGAAACTAGACAACGATTTATTGATGCTTGTTTACATCCTACAACTTTATTAATGTGTCCTCAACATTGTGTGTTAAATCTTCCAAGGCCTAGGTAAAAAATGGGATTTTTCTTGTCAAGGGCGTAGCCAGGGTGCTGAAGCCTCCCCCCTGAAATGAGGGAAAGGGGGACTTTTGGAAACATAAAAATAACTTAATTTTTCCGTGAATGATTAATCTTCCAACATTCAACCAACATTCAAATTACAAATATTATACTGAATTTTATATTTATTAGAGAACCGCCTGCTGATGTTGGTCCTGCCGCTATGTTTGTAGGAAATATTGTGCAGGTTTTTTTTGGTTTTAATTTCTAAAAACTTCTTTTTCTAGGGTGTAAGAATAGCTGGAGCACAAGGAATGGAATTGCCATCACCCATAACTGAAGAGGAACAATGTTGCCATCTTATTGATATTTTAAAACAACGAGCAAAGAATACTCCTGATCATGTGCTATATTCTCTTTTGAATTCACGTGGAATTGAAGTTTGGATTTTTTAAAACTTTTATCCTATTTTTTTGGACAAAATACAGTCAGATCAGACTATACCCTTGGAATTAGATACATTTTTTAACTGTTGCCATTTCGATGGCTTTTTGAGTTTAGTAGGTTTTCGAAGTCATTTCCTCCCATCCAATTTGGCATTTCGACAGCTTTTTGGAGGGGTGGCTTTTTGTTGGAGGTTTGGTGGAATACCACGGATTTGAGAAACTACCTGAAAGATTTTTCTATTTAAAGAGCCCCTCAATTTACATTAAGATTTTTCACCTCTAAAGAGTGTTTTTTGTAGTCAGACCCTTTTGTATTTATAAATTTACTTTTCTAAAAAATATTTTTTTCTAGACAGAATCTCTAACTTGTGCTCAACTTTTAAAAAGGGCAGAACGTGTTGGTGCTTTATTACTTGAAAAAGGAAGTTTGGCAAGTGGTGATCATGTTGCTATTATTTTCCCTCCAGGAATTGATTTAATTGCGGTTTAATTTTTAAAAATAATTGTCAAGTATTTTTAATTTATTTTAGGCAGTTTTTGGTTGTTTTTGTGCTTCACTTGTGCCTGTCTGTATTAGACCACCTTCTGCTCAAAATTTACAAACTTCTATGCTTACTATAAGGTATAACTTTTTTTGAATTTTAGAAAATAAGTAGGGTTAATTAAGCAGAAAGGAGGGTACTTTTACCTACCAGACAGGAATCGAACCTGGTATTTTCTAATAGTTACTGTCGCGTGCAATTGTTCAACTGAATCAGTCAAATAACCGCTCCGACATATCCATCTTGAAATGGCTTGCCAATGAGTTGGCGAGGATTTAAGACGCTCAGCGATGACTTAGGATTCATAAAAGAGACTTGATCAATAAATCTGTTTTCTTTTTTGTTAATCCTAAGCCCTCGCCTAAAGCGTTTTAACTCCTACCCAACTCATTGGCTAGACATTCCAAGCCGGACATGTCGGAATGGTTCTTTTACTGGGTCTTTGATTAATACCTTCTCCCGTTATGTCCGTTTAATTATGCCTCCCTCCCCACACTCTTTTTCCTTGAAAATCAATTTTTTTATTTCAAAAATAATTCTTTTATTTTTTTCAGAATGATTGTACAAGTTAGTAAAGCTGTTGCAATTCTTTCTAATGGATTAATAATTAAATTATTAAAAAGTAGAGAATGCCCTCCACCTCCAAATAATCATCAAAGAAGACGACAATCACAACAACCATCAACACAATTCCAAGCTTCTTCTTCTTCTTCCTGGCCAATAATTTTTGATATTGATGATGCTCCTTCTTTATCTTTTGCAAGAAATAAATTGCTAAATAAAAGAAAATTGTCTGCAGAAAGAATAGAAGAGGAAAGATCATCAACAGCAGCAACATCTACTTGTTATTTGGTATTTGTTTTTTTTTATTAAAAAATTTTGGGGAGGTTTTTCTGGCAAAATTTTTGGATTTCTCTAGTTTTGTGGTGTGCCAGAGTAAATACCAAACCAGAGATGTCACACGGGTCACCCAATACCCGGGCTTTTTCTTGGCCAGAAACATTATTAGTAAAATTTCTTGAACCCTCGCTGACTTTTTCCCCTCTTTATCCCCTTAACTGCCCCAACACAAAACCAAAGACCCAATTCTTTTCTCAATCTGTGTTATTCTTGTGCCTGTCGAAATACCAAAAATGTGAAAAATCCGGAGAAATACAAATTGTTAAAAAATTTTTCCAATCTAAAAGGCATCCCTTTTGTTTCTTTTTTCATTGTTATTTATGAAGGATTTTGTTGTATCTACAACAGGGCAACTTTCTGGTGTACAAATGACTGTTTTAGCAGTAGCAAATCAATGTAGAAGTCTTAAATTGGCATGTGAACTTTACCCATCAAGAAATGTTACATTGTGTCTTGATCCTTGTTCAGGCGGTCTTTCATTTACTCTTTGGTGTCTTTCAAGGTTTTTTTTTTAATTTTTTAGAAATTGAAATTTTTTATGGATTATAACTGGAATAATTGATTTTTACCCCATTCATTCTATCAATTGTATAAGCATAAATAAGCTTTGTTATTTGTTGAGGTGTGGTGTAGTGGTATAGTTCTTGACTTGCCCCTTTTTTCTGCGGTGTAGTTATTCCCTTGATAGAACTTTTTCTTCTTCGATCTTATTTATTTTAAATTTTCACTTAAAAATTTTATTTTTAGTAAATTGTCTTTAAAATTTTTTTCTTTATTATTTTTAGTGTTTATTCCGGTCACCAATCAACACTTATTCCACCACAAGAAATGGAACAAAATCCTTTTTGTTGGTTACAGGCTTTAACACAAAGGAGAACACGTGATACATTTTGTTCACCAAATGTTTGTTTGATTTTTTTATCTAAAAAAATTTTTTTTAGATGGTAGAATTGTGTTGCTCAGAACTTGCACCTCAACTTTCTCAACTTTTAGAAAAAGGAATTAATTTATCCAGGTTTTTATTTTATTTAAATTTTTATTTTTGATTTAAATGGGAATGGCGGTGTAGTTTTAGAGTTCCGACTGCTCCTCTAAATTTCTATGGGTTCGATTCCCAACAGGAAAATTTTTCTGTATGAATTTATTATAGATAATTTTCATAAATTATTTTTACTTTATTTCTTTTCTTAATTGTATACGCATAGGTAAATTATTTCTGTTCCAAAAAAGGTGGTGGTGTAGTGGTTAGAGTTCTCGACTATAACATTTTTTGTTAGGAGTTTGACCACCCTTCGGGAAAATTTTTTTCTTTTTCATTTAAAAAACCTCCCTTTCTCATTTAAAAAAATATTTTTTGAAAATTTGGCTTTAAAATTTTCTAATTTTACTTATTTTTCCAGTCTTCGTAATTGTATAATTATTGCTGAAGAACGTCCACGTGTTTCTTTATGTACTGCATTTGTTAAATTATTTGCACCATTGGGTTTATCATCTAGATCAGTTAGTACAGCTTTTGGTTGTCGTGTAAACCCAGCAATTTGTATGCAAAGTGCTTCTTGTCCAGATCCAACAACAGTTTATGTTGATGCTAGAGCTTTGAGAAATGATCGAGTAACTTTGGTTGAAAAAGGTGCTCCACACAGTATTTGTTTAATGGAAAGTGGAAAGGTTTTTTCGTTAATTTTTTTGTTAAGTATGGGACTAGGCTTTTAATTAAAAAATGGGAATAAATTTTTATATTTTTGAGACATTTCCCAAATTGAAACTAACGAGATCTTTAATTGACAAAGACGGCTTAAGAACTAATTTCTTCATCTACTGATTTCGAGTTATTTTATATAACTCACCCCTCTATGGGTTCAGGGGTTCACTACCCTTCAGGGGTTCCTCCCCTTGGTTTCCCATGTGGAAAAAATTTGAAAAAAAATTCCCTTATGTGTCCTCCATTTACTTTTAGGTTCTACCTTGTTTTCTTTCCTTTTTAAATTAATTGCTCTTTTTTCAGCTTCTACCTGGAGTTAAAGTTGCTATTGCAAATCCAAAAACTCGTGGACAATGTGCAGATACACATTTGGGCGAGGTTGTTTTATTTTTAAAATTCCCCAAAAAATTTTTCTTTTACTAGATTTGGGTATCTAGTGGACACAATGCAAATGGATTTACTTGTCTTTCTGGCGAATTGCAACAAACTGACCATTTCAATGCTCGTTTAACTACCGGTGATACAAAAACTTTATGGGCACGAACTGGTTATTTGGGATTTTTGAGACAAACGAAGGCAATTACGGCACATGGAGGTTTTTCTTAAATTTTTTATAGGGAAATCAGGGATGGGCAGGGATACTCGAAACCTGAACCCTTCTTTTGAAATCCCGGAATTAGACATCCGATCCGAGGAAATTTCCAACCGCGACCCGTCCTTTCCCTCTTAATTCCTCTAAACTCTGACACGACCCGAAATCCGGTTCTTTTTTCAACCCGGAATCAGCAAACACGATCACTCAAATCTGACCAGTCTTGTTTTCTCTCATCCCGATATATCATTGATAAGAAATTTCTATAAAATAATTTTTTTCTTTTTTTTAAAGAATTGCACGATGCATTATTTGTTGTTGGTGCTTTAGATGAAACAATATTATTGCGTGGAATGAGATATCATCCTGTTGATATTGAATTGTGTGTATGTAAAGCTAATCGTCAAATATGTGAAAGGTTTTTTAATTAAAAATTTTTTTTTGTTTTTTTCTGGAAATTATTATATTTGGGGGATTGCTTATAATAGGACTAGTACTTTAAATTAGTTTTCTGATAGGCAAAACTTTAGCTCATTTAAAACAACCACCACTCCGTAGGAATCCTCTATAGCTTTGTTTTAAAGTTTTCCGAATTTCGGATACTTTAAAATATAGCTCAATTCTGCTGACTTGAACTATATAGATTTGTCCTGAATCCCAAAACTATAGACAAAATTATAGTAAAATAGTGTGACGGACCGAAGGTTCTCATGCATGGGCATTCTTCTATTACCTTCCAAAGGGGCTTCCAAAAATTAGGAAAAATCACTGACATTAGTACTTTCCCTGAACATTATATTTTTTTTATATTTTCCCTTATAATCTCCAACAACCCCAAACTTTAAAAAAACAATTTCCCTAACAGTGCCTCCTTCCTTTGGACAAATTTGCTCGTTATTGCCGCAGAAACGACATCTCCAGAATCAGATGCTTTAGATTTAATTCCATCAATAACTTCAGCATTGTTGGAAGAACAACATTTAATTGCTGGAATTGTTGTATTATTAGACCCTGGAACTATTCCAATTAACAGTAGAGGAGAAAAACAAAGAGCACATTTGAGGGAATTATTTATGCGTGATCAATTAGATCCTATTTATGTGGCTTATAACCTTTGAATATTTTTTTTATTAATAATTTTATAATTAATTTAAGAAAATAAAAATCGTAAATTTAAATTCTTTCAGTTCATCAATGGTCGTATTGTATGTTACCCCCAGAGACTTAGTGATGTTCACGAGAGCTTTCGAAAGATATAAATTTTTCCATAATAATATTAATATCAGAAAAAGTTATGCCAAAAATCCACATTTTGTCTGCAAGACTCAAACGTCCCTTATATGAAGAAAAATCGTCCGTGCCCGCTCAACTCATCTAATCCTTAACTCATCCACACGCCCAAAAACGCTCAACTCATCTAAACGGCTAAAATTCCTTAACTCATCCACACGGCCAAAAACGCTCAACTCATCCAATCCTCAACTCATCTAATGCTTAACTCATCTACACGGCCAAAAACGCTCAACTCATCCAATCCTCAACTCATCTAATGCTTAACTCATCTACACGGCCAAAAACGCTCAACTCATCCAATCCTTTGGAACGAGACTATTGAGTACCAGTCGTTTGAGTCCATGACAAGTTGAGTCCCTGGCCGTCTGAGTTCATGACCAGTTGAGTCCCTCGCCGTCTGAGTTCATGACAAGTTGAGTCCCTGGCCGTCTGAGTTCATGACCAGTTGAGTCCCTGGCCGTCTGAGTTCATGACCAGTTGAGTCCCTGGCCGTCTGAGTTCATGACCAGTTGAGTCCCTGGCCGTCTGAGTCCATGACCAGTTGAGTCTCTAGCCGGTTAAGTCCCTGGTCAGTTGAGTCCCGGCCGTTTGAGTGGTTGATTACCGCCGGTTGAGTCTTGGGCCGGTTGAGACTCAACTGACCAGGGACTCAACCGGCTAGGGACTCAACCGGCCGATATTTCAAGGATTGGATGAGTTGAGCGTTTTTGGGCGTGTGGATGAGTTAAGCATTAGATAAGTTGAGGATTGGATGAGTTGAGCGTTTTTGGGCGTGTGGATGAGTTAAGTGTTAGATGAGTTAAGGATTGGATGAGTTGTAGGGTAGCCAAATCGTCCTCAAAATTAGAGAAAAATTAAACAAAAAATAGTGTAGTTAGAGAACAAAATAAATACGGGTGTTTGCGGTCAGTTTAGTGCCGAATGTTGAGAGCGTTCAGGTTACTGTAACTGAATTGAAAACCAATTAGAATAAAATTGTAAAATTTTCATTTTTCATAAAATCGATAAAAAATCAATAAATCGATATCAATCGATAAAATCAATATTTCCAAAATTGTTAAATTTTCTTTTTTCAAAAAATCGATAAAAAATCAATAAATCGATATCAATCGATAAAATCGATATTTCCAAAATTGTTAAATTTTCATTTATTAAAAAGATCGATAAAATCAATACTAATCGATAAATTATTTATAATTCATAAATTTCACAAAATCGGTTTTTCACTTTTGCCACTTCGCTCTCAAAATAAGCACCGAACTGGCCATAAATACTTATATTTATTTTTTTCTCTAACTACACTATTTCTTTTATAATTTTTCTAAACAACAGGTAATCATTTAGTCGGGATTGTTTATTAAGGAACACCTCAGTTAAGTCATGACGATTTTGTCGTGTCTAAGTTTCTAAAAAGCGCAACAAAACAAAGCCAAAACATTTTATATAAAAATAAAAACCAAAAAATTAAAAACAAAAAAAATAAGAAAATTAAAAAAGATTAACAACGAAATTCAAAAAGTATTGTTGTTGTAGAAGCACACTTCGCTCGAAATCCAGTAAATGTCCATCTTGTTGTTGCTTTTCCTGTTGTTGCTGTTGGGGATTGTTCAAGTCTGAAAGAAAAAAAGCATTTTGCGTGATTTTGGACCTCATCTCAAGCTCAAAATCGACCTAAATTTTTTATACAAGGGGTAGATTGGGAGGGATTACACAAACTTTCTACCCTACTTTTACCTAAAGTATAAAGAGGCATCCTACAAAGTTCAAAGAAATCAGTCTGTTATAAATGGAACAAGGTTTCAAATGTCCTTTGGGGGAATACGAGTATGCTCCCGAGGAATTTAGACGATGTCTGGACAACGAAAAGAAAAAAGATACATTCGATTGTATCAATAATCTCAAACCCCAAAGTCATTCAGAAATCCACTCAAAAAACCCCTCAACTAAAAATAAATAAATTACGGTTTCAAATGTCTTTGGGGAATGCGAGTATGTCCCCGAGGAGTTTAGACTATGTGTTAGGACCAATGAAAAAAAAACAGATACATTCATTGTATCGGAAATTTGAAACTCCCAAATCATTTCAGAAATCAACTCAGAAAAAACCCCTCAACTAAAAAAATTAATAAACTAACATTGACTCAATCACGCCTTCCTTCCCTTCTCAAAATTTCACAACCATAAGCCGCCAATTCTTGTCTGTCTTGGCCAGGATCGTCCAACCAAGGAGTTTGTCCACCCGCAGTTGAACATGTTAAAAAATTTTTTTGAAAGAATTCTTAAACTCATTAAATAACCTTTCAAGCCGGGGTTTCAGGAGCATGTTGTTGTAAGCCAAAGCAACACCAAAAAATTGTCCAAAGGGTCGTCGTCATCAATTGGGCTCAAATCTAAAAGAAAATAATTATTTGATGAAAAATAAAAAGGAAACCCCTCAGAGTATTGAACCCGTGCCCTACTCACATATAATCGGCAACGCTACCAACTTAACCAACTGCCATTACGAAAGACTAAAATTTTCTCTATATACAAATGTGAATTTTGAATTTGGGGACCTAATTCAAGTTACTATAATTCTAGTTAAAAGCTCCGAAAAAGAATTAATAACCTTTCACACTTCAGAATCACAAGCCAGATAAATGCAACCAAGCAAATGTCCTCTTGTTGAAGCGAATGCAGCTTTGCCGGATGTCCTCTGTGTTGTGGAGTGTTGTAATCAACCGTTCAGCCATTTCCTAAAAAACAAAATTTTATTTCATTCAAACAAACAAATAAAAAACCTAAATGAACTCTGCTGCTTCTCTTCTATATTTAAGTTCAAATCCATAGACATTCTAATTGGAAGTCAATCAAGCTAATCGTCATTCAAATAAAAACCAACAGATAAAAACCCGCGCCATTCTTTCCAAAAAATACGGAAGTGTTGACGCTTGTTGGTGCACGATAGGTGGAAAACGCTAGACGTGTGAAACGGACACCCAAGGAACCCACAATAATAGGAGTAAACTAAGAAACATGTATTTGCGGACAAAACTTGCGGATGTTTAAAAAATTAAAAAACAAACATTACTTATTGCCTCGACGTCCACTTGCATCATGATAAGAACGGGCACCACCATGAAGAGCATTGCCACCAGCAGGAAGAGAAAGGCCAACCCAATGTGACCCACAAAGTCAAACACCAATGGGGACCACAGTCAATCAACAATGGGGACCACAGTCAATCAACAATGGGACCACGAGGGCCACAAAGTCAATCACCAAGGGGGTCCACAAGTCAATCACCAAGGGGGCCCACCAAGTCATTCACCAATGGGGGCCACATATGAAGAGCATTGCCACCAGCAGGAAGAGAAGGCCAACCCAATGTGACCCACAAAGTCAAACACCAATGGGGACCACAGTCAATCAACAATGGGGACCACAGTCAATCAACAATGGGACCACGGGGGCCACAAAGTCAATCACCAAGGGGGTCCACAAGTCAATCACCAAGGGGGTCCACCAAGTCATTCACCAATGGGGGCCACAATGAAGAGCATTGCCACCAGCAGGAAGAGAAGGCCAACCCAATGTGACCCACAAAGTCAAACACCAATGGGGACCACAGTCAATCAACAATGGGGACCACAGTCAATCAACAATAGGACCACGGGGGCCACAAAGTCAATCACCAAGGGGGTCCACCAAGTCAATCACCAAGGGGGTCCACCAAGTCATTCACCAATGGGGGCCACAATGAAGAGCATTGCCACCAGCAGGAAGAGAAAGGCCAACCCAATGTGACCCACAAAGTCAAACACCAATGGGGACCACAGTCAATCAACAATGGGGACCACAGTCAATCAACAATGGGACCACGAGGGCCACAAAGTCAATCACCAAGGGGGTCCACAAGTCAATCACCAAGGGGGTCCACCAAGTCATTCACCAATGGGGGCCACAATGAAGAGCATTGCCACCAGCAGGAAGAGCATTGCCAACCACCATGAAGAGCAGTCTTGAAAATATTAAAAAAATAATTTCAAAATGTCGAAAACCGACAAGTTTTGTCCGCAAATACCCCCCCCCCCCCCCTCAAGGATTAAACCCTTTCTTTTTCTTGTATGTGTGGCGTTGTTGCAGGAGTGCCAACCAATGATGCCCCGTCTCTGCTCAGTTTCCTTCTTGCCATGCTTAGTGCGCAGTTTCTATAAAAGGAAAAATTAACTTAAAAGGAAATTTATTTCCAGAAAAAACGCTCCTAGAACACCCCGTTCACTATTAAACCTGACTTCCCATTTATCTGTTGTTTCAGCAAAAGAAAAAATCGGTGGACAAGCGAGGAAACATGGACTTCTAAAACCTTGATGCACCATCAACAGATGATCAGGTGCATAACAAATGTATCAGGTCCCAGGACCGAGACTAATTATCGACGCTTGACAGTGGATGCTTTCTTTTACAAGTCTACAAAAACCCCATCCCAAGAAAGGACCACAAAAATAAACAAAAACAAACCTGAAGTCATCAGCAACAAGTTCCCAGCATATTTTTACAAATAGCAGATTGTTCCATCATTCGAGCCAGTGACGGTGTTTTCAAACAATTTTTGTTGACATTTGAAGAAGGGGAAGACAAAAATCCTTTCCATTGTTGTTTTGATGGAGAAATGGATGATTCATCAATTGTAAGGCATTGAAATAAAAATTTGTTTATTGAAGACGTTGTTGTTGAAGCCTTTTGATGAAATAATTGTTCATCAATTTTTGAATTGTTTGTCTCTAAAAAATTGTTTTTAGAAAAAAAAATAAATAGTGATATTCACTTTTGGACTAGGTCCACAAAAGTGTTTTTCAAACAAACAAAAAGTTATTGATTAACGAGAGACGCAAACAAATCAATATAATTTTTTTCTCTATCAAAAGCAAAAAATGAAACTCAAAAACATGTACTAATTAGAGAAGAAAATTATTCTCTTTGGGGGATTATTAGAGTCTTATTTTAAATATTTCCTAAAAGAAAGTTAAAGAGAAAACTCAAAAGTACCCAAGCGGAAAAGTCCGTCAGAAAAGTGACGGGCAAAAATGGCGGGCTTTTTACTTTTTGTAAATTTCAAAATGTAAATTTCAAAATGTAAACTCGATCAGACACTCATTACATGTACTAATTAGAGAAAAAAATGTAAAACACCATAAAGAGAAGACTAAAAAACAAAAACTGGCGGGCTTTTCTCCCGCCAGAATATTCTTTTTGTAAATTTCAAAATGTAAATTTCAAAATGGAAACTAGTTATAAATATTTTAGAATCCCAAAATAGAATATTTCGAATAAACAAATTTTAAAATATTTTATGTCGTCATTTCTCATTTCGGTAAATAATGGTAAATATTAAATTTGGTCACGCGACATTTCATTTTTTAAATTTTGTTGGCAATTGGGAGAGACTAACTGCCTAGTGGATTTTTTATGGACGATTTTCCAACCCCAAGGTAGTATTGAAAATCGAAGTCGAGCCCAACTTGCCGCGCTTAGCAAAAAAATGTTTAATTATTTTCCCCGTCTCTCAAGAGTTAAAAAAAAGTTTTTCTTTTAATTTTCCACATTATTTCCCCCCAAATTTTTATTTCCATGAGAAAAAGACAATTTTATTTTTAGATGATTTTTACAAAATTTATTTTCAATTTTGGAATGTTACAACTAATTTATTACTCTCATCATCATTTTTTACAAAATAGCTACTTCCGACAACGTCCATCACCACCCAAAACTTTTAATATACTCCCCCAACAACTTTATTCTTACTTGAAAGATGACAACCTTCTTTTGGTAATTTATTTAAACTCAGGTTTTTTTTTTAATTATTTATGGGTATATTAAAGCCTTTTTTTCATACCTGGGATGTCACTGGTTATCCGAAACTCGGACTTTTTTCCGACTCGAAATACGAAACTAGATTTTTTGGAACACTGAAGTCGAAACCTCAGGAATTGGAAAATCTGGAAACCTGATTTTGAAACCCGAAATCCGTCCTGTCTTTTTTTCTCAACCCGTGACGTCTCTGGTTTATGCCCCGGTATATTTGGTGAATTAACGGAGGCCAAACTCTGGAGTTGAGAACCGGCCATACCCGAAACCCGGGGTACCGGTTAATAACCGGTAGTGCACATCCCCGGTTTATTTACATCATTTTTTATTTTCTCCCATTCACCCAAAAACAAAAAAGAAACCGCAACAACCCCCCTAAAACATTTTATTAAATAATAACTGCTCTTAATTCCGGAAAGTCTCTCTCTCATTTTTTATTTTCATAAAAAGTAGGGCAACTCTTTTTTAACGGAAAATAACGAAAAGGAAAAATAATAAAATGATTATAAAATAATCAAAGCAACTTTTGAATATAATTTTTTGTAGTTTAACCTTGTTTTTTTGTTAATAAAAAATAAAAAATTTTTTCTTCGTTGTTTTCCAGTTTTATTTAATAACAAGTTAATTTTCATTAATTTTTTAGATTTACATAAATAAATATTTATTCAATTGATTCACAAATAACTACAAAATCAGCCAATAAAATCAACGGGAAAAAATTTATTTTATGAACATCGACTAATTTGTTGGATTTCTTTGGATTTTCTTCAACTCCAGGCAATTAACAGAGCCCTCAAGATTCAGTTTTTAACTTGGTTAAATAACACAAGATGTCGGCAAGTGGAAGTAAATGGAGAAAAGGGCTGGAAGAAGGACAACAACAAAGTTTATTAGAAAAGGTTTGCTTCTTTTTTAACAAGTATTTTTGGGAAATATCTAGTAAAGGCGAATCTTCGTCGGTCCCTAAAATCTGGCTGTTTTTATGTCCTAGATGTCCGGCATTTCAGTCTAAACTTTGTTCGGTTAAGGGCAAATTGAAATTTTATTTTTATTTAAATAGTTATCCCCAATTATCTCTTTTGCTTCCCGCAAATGTCCCCCTCTCTTCATCTCTCCTTCCTCTCTTCATCTTCCCTTAATTAATCCAAAAGTTTCTTTCTTTACATTATTTCTCCCCTAATCCTTTTAAGTAATCCCAAGGTCATAATGCACAGCTTTAAAAGCTCCACATCTCTTTTATCTTTCTTACTTTATTTTCTTCTTATTTTTACTTAAATATTAACCTAAATTCATGATTGAATCAGTCCTCGCTTCTTTTTTTAATTAAAACCATGGCTAGATTCTACTAAAAATTTTTCTTTGGTTTTTACCAGGGAATCCGAACCCAGGGCTTTTCCCGCCCCCTTTTCTCAACTTGTGGCAGTTTCTATACCTGAAATAGGGGAAACCTTTTTGGTGATTCTTTTTTCTTCTATTTTCTCCAATTTCTTAATTCATCTTAAAAAACACAACTTTTTTTTTATCTTTTCCTAATGTTTTTCTAGAGACTTGTTTAACTAACTAAATATACACAATTTGCGCAAACAAGTAAATAACTAAATTTGTATAACTGTTGTTGGTTGCTTGTTTTGTATGCGCCAAATTACGCCTTCCTTTTTTCTTTTAATGGTGGCTAGAGGAGGGGGGAAATGCTTTTTATTTTTCTTCTTTTTTCATCTTTCTTCAGTTTCCTCGTCTTTCTTCAATCAGTTCCTCCTCTTAATTTCTTTCAAGCTTTTTTTTATTTATTTTTATGCATCGTTGGTTTATTACGTGATTTTTTTTGATTATATTTTTTGGACAAAAAACTCTAAAAATTAATTAAATAACTTTTTTTGGATACCCTCCCCTTCCCCTCTCTCCTCTCCTTCCTTCCTTCCCCCTCCTCCACCCTTCGAGTTTGAGTCTTACGGTTTTCCTTAATATGTATGTTCATAATGGCCAAACTAGAGTGAGCATGAGGAAGGGAAGTCTGATCATTATTTACATATTAAGGAAGCCTCTAAGACTTGAACTAGGAAGGGGAGAATGAGGGAAAAGTACCAGAAAATTAAACAAAATAAATTTTTTCTAATTTTATTTTTAAATCTAAATTCTTTAAGAATGATTAATTTTTCAAAAATAAAAATCATTAAACAAACAATTTCAATTTTTTTCTTTTTATTTTTACTTTAATATTTTTTCTTCTTTTTTTATCCTTTTTTTAAATTTTATTTTTAATTAATTAATTAAATATTTCTCCTCTTTTTTCTTCGGTGTTCTCTTTGTGTGGTTAGGGCACTTTTTATTTTTGTGGTTAAGTGGTTAAACTTCTAGAAAAATTCTAGAAGTGACCGAAGGAGTGGTTCGAAACCTGACCGAGGGTATTTATTTTTCTAAAATTAATAAAATCATTAAATTAATTAAAAAATATTTTTTCGATTAAATATACAAAAAATTAAGTAAAGAGGCAAATAGTAATAATATTATTTCTATAAATGCACACACACAATGTGCAGTCAGCCAAAACTTTTATTTTTTTTTGTATTTCTTTTAAAACTTGAATTTATATATTTATTTAATTATTTCTTCCCCAACTTTTTTCCCTTTCAATTTAAATATTTAATTTTGTATATTTTAAATATACAATTCACCTTATAGATGATTCACCTTTACCAGGGATATCAAAGGTTACCCGAACCCCAGAACTTTTTACGACACAAAACTCAAAACCTGACCTGACTTTTTCCCTGTTTAATCCCCTAACTGACCCAACCCACCTTTTTTCCCCAAACTGACTTGACCCGCCCGACCCGACTTTTCTTTTCAATCCGTGACATCCCTATTATGCTTAAATTTCATTGAATTAGTAAATTAGACTCCCCTCTCCTCCTATTTATTTTTAAATTAATTTTTATCAATATTTTTTTTTGTTTTTAGCGCGAGACTTTTTAAACCATTTTCTTCTTTCTTCAAACAATTTTCTATTTCAATTATATATTAATAAATTTATTTTTATGTGCACTTTTCGACCTTGTGTTTATATTTCCTTCTTTTTTCCACACACCTTTTACGCGGGGTTTTCTTCATTCTTTCTTTTAAACCCAAAACAACCAAAAACAATAAGTAAAAGACAAAATTTCGCGCAGCAGAAATTTCATTAGAAAGAAGAATAGCGCTGCTATTTTATAACCTTTTTTTCTCAATCACACCTTTTATTTTTAGGTATTTTAATTTTTTTTATTTTTATGGGGGGGGGAGCTCTCTCCCCAATTTATTTTTTATTTAATTGAAATTTTAAGTCAAAATTTTTGATACTTTTTCCGTTAGTTGCCCACACACAATTTTTTTCCAGCGACGATTTATTTGGGCGCCTAATTTTGTCCAGAATCTTTGGAGCTGATTCTTGGTCCTCTGGTTTTAATAAATAGAGGGACTTGGGCTGGTCACTTGTTAAGGTACAGCAAATAAATTTGTTGAGTTTGTGGGTATATAATAGAAAAGTATCAAAAATTCAAAAAAAAATTTTCAAATTAAAAAATTTAATTTTTTAAAATAATTTTTTAGTGCCTTCAAGAACGGGTTTGTGAACTCTTTTTAATGCAAGATTATAATACTAAAAAAATAAGCAACAATAACAACAACAACAGCTGTCCAATTTCTTCACCCCCTCCATTTTTTCGTTCCCCAACTTTTCTTAATGAACGAATACCTCAAGCACTTTTTAGCAATGGTATGTGTTTTTAATTAATTTAATTAATTAAAATTTAATTTTCAGGTACAAAAGGTTTATTACCCACAAACAATCGTTTAAGTGATAGTGGCGGAAGAAGGGAAGGAGGTGGAGGTGGAGGAAGTGCTGTGGGTGGTGTGGGGGTCACCGGAAATGGCGGCAGCGGAAGCGTTGTTCGAAACATTCCTATTCGTGTGTTGGATACTCCCGATAATTTATCATCAAAGGTTTAAAAAAATTTTTTTTAATAAAAATGGAAAGAAAGAACAAAATTAAGACTTGGTTTTGAGGGAGAGACTAATTAAAATTTTGTGCGAACTTTTTTTTTCGAAAAAAATTTTTTTGAAAATTTTTTTGGTCTATTTTTAAATCTATTTTTAAGCTTTTTTTGCTTGTTATTCGGAAAAAAATATTTAAGAAAAAATATTTTTTAAATTTATTTTTTTCTTTATTTAATTAGCTCCCAATTAATCAAGTTTGACGGGAAATTCTTTCTCCCTTTTCTTTTCTCTTTTTCCGTTTGTTGCATCCGTATCAATTAAAATATAAAAATAGCAAAAGTGCCTCTCTCTTTTTTCGAACACGCCCAAAAAATTACACCAAAAAATATTTTTTAAAAGTAAGTCTGGGTGAGCGTTAAAAATTTTTTTTTGCAAAAACGCCATAACGCCAGTAATTGCAAAAATTAAAGTGCACACACACACAGCCCCAAAGCTTTTGAGGGAGGAGGGGGGAGGATCAAGCTTTCGATAAAATCTTTTTAGTTGTTCCTTTTTGTTTTTCATCAATAATATATAAAAATATACTCTCAAGATGAAAGGGATATATTTATTTTGCTAATATTTTACAAGTTAGCATTTGTTGGGGTGTGTGTGATTTTTAGGAGGAAACTCGTTCCTTTCTTTTTTTATTATTAAATTATTTTTAAAAAAAAATTTGGAAAAATACTTTGAAAAATAGTATATATAAAATAAAGTGTACATAGCTTTATAGCCAAAAACCCTGGGAGTATTTTTTCTCTCAAACTCCCCAGTATTTCCGAAATCCTTTTTTCCTCAAAAATCCGTGGTTTCGGGTTAACCTTGAATCTGTTTAAAAAAATTTTAAAATTTTTATTTAAATTAAAAACAAAAATTTTTTTAATTTATAGCACCAAAGAGAACACCAACAACAACCATTATTTGAACAACAATCATCTTCATTAAATACCCCTGAAAGAATGGATTTGTCAACTTCTTTGTCATCAGAAAACAATTTTAATAAAAATAAAAATTTCTCCCCAATTTCTTCACCTGATTTGCGCCGTCAATTTTCTTCTTTATTTTGGACCCCACAACAAGCTAAGAGAATTGCTGAAAGAGAAAATTCTAAAAATATTCCTGTTCAACCACAACAGAATAATAGAGAATTTATTGAAGATGCTAATCATTACGGTTTTTCTTTGAAATTTAAAATTAAAAAAATTAAAAAAAAATTTTCAAAGTGATTTTTTGAGTATTTTTCAAAATTGATGACAAAATTTTCGGATTTTTTGAAATATTTTTTAAATATTTTCTAAATTAAAAGACATTATTTTTTTCAAGCTAATTCATCAAAAGAAATTAATAATTATAATTCTTTATCTCGCCCTTCCAATAATCCTACAACAACAAATTCGTCTGGTTTTGGTAATGGTTCAACAGTTACATTTTATTCAATACCAATATCTCAAAAAGAGCAAGAAATCGAAAATAAAAATTTTCTAAAAAATGAAAAAGAAAAAAATGGAAAATTAGAATTATCAAATAATAATTTAAATAAACAGCAACAACAAAATGTTCATTATTCGGCTATACCTTTTCGTAGAAGAATTGGTGGACTATTGGGAAGGTTTTCTTTTTTTTAAATTAAATTAAAAAATATTTTTTTAAGTATGAGTGCAATTTCTACACCTTCACTATTTCATCAAAGAGAGGATGAAGAAGATAAACCAAAATCTCATTATCAAAATATTGAGTAGGCGTTATTAAATTTTTGTTTTAATTTTTAAAGTTTTCAAAAAATTCTTACAAGGGAACATTTCGAACTGTGACCAAAAATTTTTAAATAAAAATTATACCATCGTGTAGAGCGTAGTCGAAAACGTATTGTGGTGCCCGGCTTTTCTTCCCCTGACCCCCATTTCGAAAAGTTATAGGGCTTCAAAGTTTTAGACTTTTAGAGCGGTTGAGTCACCCTCATAAAGAGAGATTTTGAATTTATTGAGGAGAAAAATAAGACTCCCATCCTCCTTTTCTCCTTTCCTTTTCTTTTCAATATTAGTTAAAGAAAGAGAAAAGGAGGAGAGAAAAGAAAAGGAAAGGAGGCATGTCTGCCATCTCCTCTTTCCTTTTTAATTGATATTAGCCGCAAGGCAGAGATGCTCTTTTCCTTTCCTTTTCTCTTCTATTTTTTTCTTTCTTTAACCAACATGGGAAAAGAAAAGGAAAGGAAAAATGGAGAAAAGGAGTCTTATTTTTCCCTTTAGGAAGAGAAATAATAAGAAAAGTGGGGGTGACTCAACCGCTCTAAAAGTCTAAAACTTTGAAGCCCTATAACTTTTCGAAATGGGGGTCAGGGGAAGAAAAGCCGGGCACCACAATACGTTTTCGACTACGCTCTACACGATGGTATAATTTTTATTTAAAAATTTTTGGTCACAGTTCGAAATGTTCCCTTGTTAGAAGCAATTTTCAATTTTTAGTTTCAACTCTGACAAAAATAATAAATTAATGAAAGAACAACAACAATTTAGCCGTCCTCCCAATCTTTCGAATAATAAATTAAACAATACTGAAACAAATACAACATCGCAAACTACTTTCCCAACAAATTTAAACAAATTAATAAATGAAACTAAACATCAACAAAACAATAATAATTACAACAATAGCAACAATTTTCCTTTACAACATTTGTTTAGGCGTAACCAAACAAGTGAAAAACAAGGTGTTTTAAAAATTTTGATTAAAACATATGACGAACATTTTCTTTAAAACATCTAATTTTAAAACAAACAAAAACATCTTAGAAACTTAAAAACATTTCATTTCAAAACAAACAAAAACATCTTAGAAACATCTAATTTTAAAACAAACAAAAACATCTTAAAAACATCTATTTTTAAACAAACAAAAACATCTTAAAAACATTTCATTTCAAAACAAACAAAAACATCTTAGAAACATTTAATTTTAAAACAAACAAAAACATCTTAAAAACATCTAATTTTAAAACAAACAAAAACATCTTAGAAACATCTTAAAAACATTTCATTTCAAAACAAACAAAAACATCTTAGAAACATCTAATTTTAAAACAAACAAAAACATCTTAAAAACATCTAATTTTAAAACAAACAAAAACATCTTAAAAACATCTAATTTTAAAACAAACAAAAACATCTTAGAAACATCTATTTTTAAAACAAACAAAAACATCTTAAAAACATTTCATTTTTAAAACAAACAAAACATCTAATTCAAACAAACTTTTTAAGCATTTTTTACTCCAAACACCGCTAATATAAATTCCAACAACAATAACAATTCAACCCAACAACAAATTCGAAATAGAAGTGTTGAAGCAACAGATTTATCTTCAAGAAATGGATTAAATAAAACACTTCCTTTACTTCCTCGTCGTGATTCTGAACCTTCAATAATTTTATTTGCTGCTGCTGAATCCTCACCACAACAACAATTTTCTGACCAAAAAGAAAAGCAACAAATTTCTTCTTCTATTCAATCACCAAATAATAAAAATATGAAGCAAGAAAATCGAGAAGAAAATGACAAAACAACAAAAATAGTTTCAGAAGATTCTTCCAGTCTTTTATCAACTACCCAATCATTAGAATCGTCTTCTTCTTGTTCTGCTTCAATTTCTGCTTCTCCATTAGCTTCATCTTCCTCAAATATATCAACAATAAAAAATAATATTAATAATTTACCTCAATCACGTCAACGTATAAAATCTCCAAGTCTTGCAGCATTAAGACAATCACTTTTGCGTTATCGACCTTTACGGAAAAATAGTACAAGTAGTAATAATAGTGGAAACAATAATAATGAAGAAAATGTTTCAGGTTTAATAAAAAATTTAAAAGTAACCGGAAAGAATGTTTTCCGTTTGAAAAGAATGTTTTTCCGGACGAAGACAATGTTTTAGGTTTGGGAAAAAATGTTTTTCGGTTGTATGCTTCCGGTTGGAAAAAATGTTTTCCCGGTTTGAACGAATGTTTTCCCAGTTTGAGCAATGTTTTTTCAGTCAAAAACGATTTTTTAACTAAACAAAAATAAACTCTTTCCCCAAACATACTTTCCGGGTTTGTTTTGTTTCTTCTTTTTATAAACAATTTATTTTAGCAAAAACAAAAGGCAAATTAGAAGAAACAACTTCATTAACATCAACAGACACTTTATCAAATTCTGATTCAAACGAACATTCAAAACAACAAAAAAATTTTATGTCACGCTCAATGTTTTTAACTCCATCAAAACTTTGTTTAACAAAATTTGCAACAAATAATCAGAATAAAAATTCTGAAAATAAAGAGAGTAGCGAGAAAATGGATGCGGTTGAAGAAGCAATACGCAGTTTAGAACAATTTGGTATTTTTTAAAAAATTTTCTAAAAAAATATTTTTATTTTCAGATCCAAATGAATTTGTTCATTATCAATATCAACAAGATGCTGAAAATAATAAAAATAATAATTTTACTCAAAACCAACAGCAACAACAAATAATAGCAATTCAGTCAACTACACCACAACCTAAATTATTTATCGCTAAAACAGAACAACCTATTTATTTAAGTCAGCCATATTGTTGTTCTGTTACGGCGTCTCCAATTGTTTTTGAGGTTAAAAAATTTTTTTTATGAATTAAAAAAATTTTTTGAAATATTTTTTAGCAACCCAGCCATCTATCTTCTCTTTCTTCCCTTCCTTCTGCCATTGAAGATCAACAATTTAATAATAATAAAAAACCTCTACCCCCTTCACTCCCATCAATATTGCATAGAGGTACCTCTACAAATACAGCATTTTCTTCATCTTCTGGATCTGCAACACCAACACAAACTGCTACTACTTTTGTTTTGGATGGTTTATAAAATTTTTTTATTGTGTAAACTAAAATTTTATTTAGAACCATCGTCGTCCTCGTTTAATTTTTCAATGGATGATAATCAAAATAATAATCAGTTTTGTATGAATAATCTACCTACAAATACTACAAACACTCCTAGAGCTAATTCTCCAACTGTTGAAGAAAATGATGAGGCAAAGGAGGAACAAAATAAAGTTATTTCTGAAGCACCACCCAGGTTTTTACCTCTTTTATATTTTTTTAATTGAAAAAAATTTATTAGAAGAGGTGTCACATTCAATGATAATCTTGTACAGCATTTTTATGCTCCATTTGATGGGTTTGTGTTGAAACATTTTAGAAATTTTTGTGAAAAAATTTTTTTATTCCAGTCCTCCTCCTGACTACAGTGAAAGTGGAGGTGATAGTAATGATGATTTGGATGATGATATTTACAATGCTGAAGAGCTACCAGACGATGAAATTGATGCTTTAGATAGCGTGACAGATAGCGAAGAATTCTATATAAATAATAAAATTGTGCCAAATTCATCATCTTCTTCTGCTGCTTTAGAGGCAAAAGCACAACTTCGTAAAAGATTTCTTTGTTCTCAATTAAATGATTGTGCAAAAGTAATTGAAATTGGTGCTTTAAAAATGGGACAATTTGTGAATGTTAGCTTAGAAATTGGTGGATGGAGGCAACCACATATTCTTCGTCATAATTTGGGTGCTATACGTGACACAATGTTTTTTTTAATTTTTATTTTTAAATTTAAAGATTATTTTTGCAGTTACACTGTTGAAATTGCTCTTGACGAGTTAGTTGAAACATTGGGACGAATTTCTCTACATAGGAGAGATCCTCGACAAGAACATTTAAGGCTATTGTTCCAACCTTGTGAATATTCTTTAACTTTGTTGAGACGGTAACTAATTTTAATTTTTCAGTTATTTTTCTTTTAAAAATAGATTGCGTTCTTCTCTTGATTCTACTGGTTGGCTACTTTCAACATTGGCACGCCCTCGGGGTAATATTGTTGGACATGATGCTCTCGATCAGGTTGTGGCTCTTCTTCCTCAAGTAATTTTTAAATAACTAAAAATAAAAATTAAATTTATAGCTTCCCAGAGACTGTGCCAAACTTGTTCAATGGGTTTCCTCTCTCTCTGCTTGGTCAGATCCGCAACGTCCAGGGCAACTTCCAGCAGTTGTTTTCCTACCTTCTTCAAATACTTCTAAACCTCAAAGGCAGCAAAATAGTAATGACGGCTTATTTCCCCTTCCGCATTTTCCACTTTATCGTCAACCTTCTCCAACCTCTTCACTTCAAAATTTTTATTATTCATCATCTGGCGGGGAGGAAGAGATGAGAGAGAAGGTATTAAAACAAAATAATTTCTAAAATATTATTAAAACAATAAGGAAAACAATAAAAATTAAAACATCTCACAAAACATCTTAAACAAAAAATATCTAAAAACATTTCCGGTTAAACTTCTAAGATGTTTTCCGGTAAACAACATTTAAAAAGTTTGTGTTTAAACATTTAAAATGTTTTCCGATTGATATTTAAATGTTTTCCGGTTAAACATTTAAAACATTTCCCGTGAAGATCTAAAAACATTTCCCGGCTGCATCTGAAACAATTCTATAATTATTTTAAAACTTAAGAATTCAAAAGGATTGGCTGATATAATGGATGGAGGTGAATCAACATCTTCTACAACAAGCTCAGTGCAAACAACACTTGAACAAACAACTCCACAAAAACAATTAAAACAACAGCAACAACCAGAACAAATATCGAATGAGAGAGATAATAATATTGAAAATACTGATTTGGTACTAGAAGAAGATGATTTGGCTAGTGTATTAAGTGTTGATTCCAATACAACAACCGAAGGTGGACAACAACATCAATTATCGCCACCAAATCGACATTTATATAATACTGGAGTATTATCCTCAAAACTTGGTATTTGTCGAGTTAATGCTGAATTGGCTCGTTCTTTGGCACCTGAACAAAGAGATTTATTTAGAATATGGGAACCACAAGTAGAGACCCATATTGATACAATATGCTCAATTATTGAACAATTTTTTGTTTTACTTGAAGAAAATAAAGAACCAACACCTGCAGGTTTTCAAAAAATTCAAATGGTAGTTTTGCATATTCAGTAAAATTAATTACCGTATTTCCTCAAATAGTACGGCCGGCCGTACTATTTTTCAACCCTCTTCTAAAGGGCCGTACTATTTGAGGGGGCCGTACTAATTGAGGGGGCCGCACTATATTTCAACTCTCCTTCGGAATTATCTGAATCTTTTTTTGTTGACCCTGAATCTTTTTTTGTGTTTAAATTTTTTTATAGTATCCACAATAGTATGCTCGGAAACTATCCCAAATCAATTTAAGACCCCGTCTATAATGACATCTGTATCAGGCATTTTGTAGACCGTTTTGTAGAGCGAGATTACGTCGTGTTTTGTGGAGAGGCAAGCGTTAAATCAGTTCTTCCGCGCGTGCATAAGGTCAAGCATATTTGTGAGATCAATGATTTGGAGGGATTGAGTGAAAGTCTTTTAATTTCGATGTATTAAGAGAGTAGAAAAATTATGGCAATGTCCATAATCAAGGACGATGGGGATTATGGGGGATATCAAGAATTTAGGAACATGTCGGAATTAAAAGCCTCTCATATCCTCATATTAAACTCTCATATCCTCACATCTCTAATAAATACTTAATATTCTTCAACGTATAAGATAAACCTGATATTCTTTACATTACCTGTTTATCTTATTATCATAAAAAATAGGTGCGGAGATGGATTGAAATACTAGAATGTTTTGAGTTGCCCTTAATATTTTAGCTAGAAAAAGTTGTCAATCCAACTTCCTAGTACTAAAAACTATTCGTTATTATAACATACGATAGTATGTTCATGCTGTGGAAAAATTGTGGATGGGAGATGGAATTGAACCATCACGGAAAGGGCCCAAACCGAAAGCACAACCGACTGTGCCACCATCCAACCCGATGCTGGGTTATTTATTTTCATTTATGTTCTTTCTGCAAGTACGGACACAACAGTTATTCAACTTGATCCCAACTAATCCTTTTAAATTCATCCATACTCAAATCACTCCAATTCCATCGATATCCTTCATAATCCAACAAAATCCCCATTAATCCACCGATATCCTCTTAAGCCCTCCAACTTCTATGCCAATAGATATTAAGATTTAATAAATTAGTTAAATATTGCGATGAATAATTACTATGATTAAAAATTCAAATTTTGCCTATTTTTATATTTTTTAGGTGGGGGCCGTACTATTTGAGGGGGCCGTACTAATTGAGGGGGCCGTACTATTTTTCAACCCTCATCTAAAGGGCCGTACTAATAGAGGGGGCCGTACTAATTGAGGGGGCCGTACTATTTGAGGAAATACGGTATTTTTTGTTTTTAGGTATATATTGAAGGTCATTCTTTGGTTGGAATTGGACGTGTGATATGTCGAGATGATGTTGTTTTAAAACATCGACCACTAAATGCATTTATAGAACATGAGTGCGCAAAGTTGGACTTGTTGTTAAATGAATGTTTGTCTAATGCAAAAGTTGCTAAAAGTCATACGGTATTATTTTTATTAAAATACAAACAAGGTGTAAATTAGAAGTCAATATAAACATCCGGAAAAAACTAGACAATGGGAAAAGATTCTCAAAAACATTTTCCTGAAACAAATGAACATAAGGAAAACAACCCGGAAAAGCATAAAAACAAAATCAACAAAACATTAACAAGAACATTATAGTAAAAACAATCCGGAAAAACATAGAAACAAAAAAACAAAACATTAACAAAAACATATACTAAATAATCCGGAAAAACATTAAAACATCAAAACATTAGCAAAAACATTAATAGAAACAAAAACATAGTAAAAACAATCCGGAAAAACAAAAAACAACCAACAAAACATTAGCAAACACATTAACAGAACAAAAACATTATAGTAAAAACATTCCAGAAAAACATAAAAACAAAAACAACAAGTATTTTAATTTATTAATGTTTTTAAGCAAGCCAACAATCAAAACAACAACAAAAACAACCAGTCATCTCAACAAACTGTACCGGCTATTCGGAGTATGTGTAAAGCAGTTGTTTCAGTATCAGAATCTGTTGGACATTTACGATTATTTTGGAGAGCATGTTGTGGATAAAAATGTGAGTGAAATAAAAAGAAAAATAATTTTAATTTAGAATTTTATTTGTTTTTATTGTGAATTATTTTAATTATAATAATGTAATTAATATTAAGCAGATTAAAATTTTAACAAAATTATAAAAAATAAAACAAAATTGACCAATTTTTAGTTTTCAAATATTTTTAGTCTCCTCTTGTTTTAGACTAGAAAAACATTTCTGGTTTAAATGTTTGTCCGAACAAATATTTTCCGAAAAACATGTTTGTGGCTATTGTTTTTAGCTTTAATAAGGTAAACTGAAACAAACATCTTCCGGAAAACTCCTTCCGGAAAAATTAATAAAACATGGTCAACTGTTGAGATCATAGATATGCGCGTATTATTAAAAGATATTTAGGGAATATAAATGTTTATGTTTATTTTAAATTAGCTATATCTATGTAAGGAAGAGGGTTGTTGTTGGTGTTGTATAGATTGTTGATTATTAAATTTTCTTAATAATTCAGTACTTTCTTCTCCTTCATTATCTAATAAATTATTTCCACTAATAAATCCATTCCAATGTTGATGACAATTTACCACCCCTCCTCCACCACCTCCATAAATACTTCCAGGTCCAGAACTTGCTGTTGTTGGTCCATAACAACCATGGTAAATATCTGTTGAATAATGTCCACCACCAAATGAATGAGTTGCTGCTGATGGCAAGGATATTGGAGGAGGGGGTGGTGGTTGAAATGAAGAAATAAGGCGGTGACTGCTTCCTCCCTCTGATGAATCTGGATATACAACACCTTTAGAAATGTTTTTATGAATTTAAGTTCCTCTCCTATTACCTCCACTACCACACCCAAATCCATGACAAAGCCTTAAGTTAGCGGCTGCTTCGCGTTCTTCTGCCCGTCTTCGATCACGGCGTTCTTTTGCACGTGCCCGGCATTGCCACATAAGACAGGCACAAAGTAGAATAAGAATACTCAAAAAGAAGGACAATAGGAGCAAAAGGAATAATAAAGCTGAAAAATAGATTTGGGCATTAAAGTTTTTTTTTATTTTTAATACCTTCATGACGTCTATCATTTAATAAAGGCCAAGCAGGTTTCCAATCAACATTATTATTAATATTAATTATATCCCTTTCTTCCTGATTGTTGCTTTCTTTTTCCGGAATCACCGGAATTGTTTTCTCTTTAATATTCTCGATTGTTTCCTTCTCCTTAACTTGTATCACCTCTTCATTTTTCTCTTCTACTTCTAATTTATTCAAATTATTTCCCTCTTCTCCCTTTTTCTTCTTTTTATCACCATATTCATCTTCCTCCTCATCTTCATGGTCGAAATCCTCATTTTCATCTTCCTCCTCTTCATCCTCAGCTAACAGAGGATGTCTTTCAATTCGAGGATTGGCTGATTTTTGAGGGATTAAATTATTAGAATTGTTGTTTTGACGTTGAAATGAGTCTAGTTCCTTTTTCAATTGCCCCATAGCTTCAAGTCTTCCACTTAATGCCCCTTCACTAAATACTTCTTCGTCAACACAAGCAAAAATAACACTCAAATATTTTAGGCTATTTTGTTGTTGTTGACATGGATTGCCTAAAAAGTAATCATTTACTTGAAATGAACACCAAGGTTGAGCATGGCAATGACTGGCTATTTGGGGAAGTACATCGAGTAGACAATCTAAATAAATATTTAAATTAATTCTGATTTTTTTTCTGATTTTTTAGAATTCTGATTTTTAGAATTATTTTGGTTTCTTTCTTATTTTCTAAATTAATTCTGATTTTTGTTTTCTTTCTGATTCTCTAAATTCTGATTTTTGGTTTCCGATTTGTTAGAATTATTCTGATTTTTTCAGATTTTTTAAAATTATTCTGATTTTTTCTGAGTTGTTTAATAATTCTGATTTTAATTTTTTTTCTGTTTTTTCCCACAATAGGCCAATAATTTTCTTTTATTTGTTCCTCAAAACAATTCACACACAATTATTTTCCGGCGATTTAATTTTCTTTTTATTTTATTCTTATAATTTGTTTTAACAACTTTCTTGATGTTTGCCGACATTTTTATTTGACAATTAAATGGTTGGGAGGAAAAAGGGAAATTAAATAGAAAATAATTGACAATTTAATATTAAAAATAGGATTCAGACACTTGTGTAAATGAAGGGGGGAGAAGGGGGAGGGGAGGGGGCTTGCGGATTTTCTGCAAATTTTTGACCCAAAATTAAAAATAATTTTTACTTAAAGCCTTTTCCATTTTCTCTAGAAAAATATATAATTTACATAAATTTATTTTCACATTTTACTAGTGTCAATCCCATAATTAGGCAAATTATGCTAACAAGATGACAAACAGAAAGCTTTTTCTTTTCCTATTTACTTAAATAGATTATTTCTATTTTAGTTTCTGTCTGCCTGTAAATAATAAATTGAATTAAACACTTAAACTGAAACAGAATTTTTGACAAACATGAAAATAAAATCAGAATTTAATAGAAACACAACTAAAACACAATCAGAATTTAATAAAAACACAGCCAAAACAAAATCAGAATTTTATAAAAACACTGTCCAACCTAGACAAAACAAATCTATGTTTTTATAAAATTCTATTTATTTAAACAAACAAACTCTAACCGTTTGAGGAAAGTTGTCGAACATTTTTATTCCCCCTAACAACATTTCCCTCTTGTTTTTGTTGTCCTTTCCCTCCACAATAAGTTTGTTGTCCGTTCGATGAACGTCCATAGTGTGCCGAGTAAATAGAAAGTCGCTGGCCTCGCGCACAGCCTAATCTCGTCTGTTGGCCTTCACAAAAGTTTTGGTCCTCGAAAG